CCCGGATTACTACCTTTCAAATTGGGACTGACAAGACTAGTAACCCATTATCATTCCTTTTTACAATATATACAACTTGATAGTATAGAGAACACAATTTTGACCTTACAAACACAATTGTTCGATTTTAAAACATCTTTAGAAAATGATACTTTTAGTCTATATGAATTGCAAATCAATTATCTTCACACTAAATTGGACAAGGTTAGAATGCAGTTAAAAACACTGGAGCCAAATCGTGCAAAACGAGGTCTCGTGGATGGATTAGGATCTATAATAAAAAGCATATCGAGAAATTTAGATTATACAGACGCAATTAAATACAATAATGCCATAAAATTTTTAGAGGAGTCGCAATCTAAAGTTATTTCCGAATTTAATAATCATATTAGTATCAGTAAGGAGTGGATGAACCGTCAAACTGATATTATCGCGCAGTTAGTAAAGAATCAGGGTAAGCTTAACACTACATTATTTTTATTGTTAGATAAAGATAGTTATAGGAGTACAAGTTTAATTAAGTATGCTAAATTCGCTCAACTTCTCACGATAATAACGGAAAACGTAGACGATATATTAGAAGAATTAATAGAAGTAGAAAACTCATTAGCATTTATTAGATCCTCTAGTATGCATCATTCAATGTTAAGTATAAACGAAATTGATAAAATGCTCATAAAACTTCGACAAATTTATCCGAAAGAACAGGTTATAGATTTAGAACTAAGACAATATTATGACATAATAAAGCCAGGCTATTACTATTATGGTAGGCAAATAGTTATGGTCTTCAAGCTACCATTAGTTTCCTCTGAATCTTTTTACATGTATAAGTTAGCTGTTTTCCCAAATAGGAAGATGCAGACTCTTTTTCCTTCCTCTCCTTATATCCTTACCAACAGGCATACATTCATGTACATAGAGGCAGAATGCCCGAAGTTTAATAACCAATGGTATCTTTGCGAAAATAAGAACAACATACTCCGAACCTCATGGGACTGCATTCAGACTCTGATTCACAACCAAACTTTGGATCACACTTGCGAGATGACTACATTAACCCTATCACAAGAAGCTTTGGAGGAATTAGATGGGCGACACTACATAATATCGTTTCCACACCCTACGAAAGTACACACTATATGCGGACGGGAAGATTTCATCATATTAAATGGAAGCTTTCTGGCCACACTTCCTGTAAACTGCATCTTAAGGACAGGAGAAATTGTTATCAGTAATACCGAGGATAAAGTAGCGGGACAACCTTTTAAAATTATGGATATAAAGTACAAGGACCAGCAATTTAAGAGTACAAATCATATAAAATTAAAATCTATTGATTTAAACAACCTGCATTCTATACAGAGTAAAGTTATGTTGCAACCAACTTTATCAACGGAGAAGGAAGCGTCTTCACTTTATCATACTACCATTCCTTTTTACATCATATTATTAAGTGCACTTACAATCATTACTGGAATGATTGTTACACATCGATATAGAAACGCACGCCATCATGAAACTAAATCTATAGAGGAAAGTAATAAAGGAATAAATCAACAAAATCAATCAGCTGGAAAATCTGACAGCATCCAGGAGCAATTTCCAGCAACATTTTACCACACTGTTTTAAAATAGTTGCTGTTCTCGGGGTGGAGGAGTTATAGCACATAGCTACAGGTGGATCGCTGACCTAACAGGAACGATTGCGACACGAGGCGTCGAGTTAGCATTCGCGGCATTGTAACGTTACACTTTTGTTTGTTCAATTTTACGTGAGAAATAAATTTATAAATTCCATCATTCTAATTGTTACATCGAGTAGCGTTAGACATAATAAATGTAAAATTAAAGTATAGTTTATAATAAAAGTATTTTTAAGTAAATTTTTTTTTTTTGAGTTCTCTGGCTGTGTTGCTCTTAACTACTATAAACTGAGTTTAACAGCATAAATAAACTATAAATACGCTCCAGATGACAACTGATAACATACGCGGTATTGACACTTGCCGTCACTGGATACGCGGTATTGTTTTTGAGCGATTTCTTGCTTTCTATTGGTCGAATGGAAGTACCGTTAAAATGGTAGATGCCAATCAGAATTCTGCGTGCATTGCGCGCGTAATATTAATATGGGCACTTTTGTCAGATACGCGGTATTAACCAATGCTAGTTACGCGGATTTGCACTATCCCCGACGATTTGTAACAGACATTGTTAATTCCTCAATAATATTTTGTTAAGCTTGATTTTCGTTTATTATATTTAACCCTTAACCGGAATCACTATTTTGATCAACATAACTGGAATCGTGGGTCAATTTGGACCCAGAAATCAAAACCTATATATTTCTTAGATTCATTCAGATTATAACCTAAACGGGTCAGTATAGTAATACACAGGGGTTTCAAAAAATCTAAATCAACAATTATTAATGAAAATATTAAAATTAACATATATTTCAAAATAAACACTTAATTTTTTGACAATTAGCAAAATTATTTGGCAAGAATTTTTCAGTATTTCACTTTGACATGACATATAACTATAAAAAAAACTTAAAATAAAAAAAATATTTCACGGGGCTTTACGTATCGTTTCCTTAACAAAAATATATATTTTTTTGAGAAATTACTGCAATACAAAAAAAATCTTATCTAAAAACAACAATTTTTTTTCTATCGGTCTTTGATATCTTAGTATAGCACTTGACGCATAACATTTTTTATACATGATGTTTGAAGTAAATATTTTCGTCTTTAATACCTTATTCTTCTATTCTCTTTAGCTCTAGACATAACATAAAATATTTATGTATGTATAAAAGAATACACAAGCAAAAAATAATATCAATACAAATATGGTTACAATTACAAAACTGATCAATGTAAAATATTACAAATTTAAAACACCTTTAAAATGGTACGAAGCTTCAATGCATGGGTGCGCTTATCAGTTCTTGGAAACTCGATATGTCTAGAATTCGATGAGCGTAGGCGATAGAGACGTGAGAATATTGAAATGGAATTGTAATGTTCGGTGGTCAGGAGGGGTCTTGAGATACAAGCATCAGCGTGACGTTGATAGATATTTATTTATCACACGACAGTTAACTATAACTTTAAATTATAACTTTCTTACTTGCTATACTGTAGCTGACTCGGAGGTCCGAAGGAACTCAAGGAACTCAAAGAACTGACTAACATTATGGGTGGAGGACATTATAAACCAATACAAATGTAAACACATTTGGGAAAAGTAAACAAACAGTCTCTGGACTCTACACTCATTAACAATTACTGGAAATTTGATAATTCTAAATGTTGTTTATATAACATTAAAGAACAATAAGTCTAAATGATCAATGAAATCTTTGATATAATATTAAAGTACAATTGATTAAAAATATGTAAACATAAAAATCCTCCCCCTTTAAGAAAATAAACATAGTTTATTTTAAAACTCAATATTAAAAAACGAACTAATAAAACAATTTATAACTCATGATACAATACTACACAATAAAATCAAATCATCGAAGGTATACATTTTCTTTTCTTTTTTTTAACAATAAAATCATACTTTATCTAATTTAAAAACAATAATTATAATCAAAATATCAAAATCTTAATTACTTATACATAATTAATTCACCTTTAACTGTGCAATTCTTGCACTACGTCTTAGAGTTTTTTCTGAATTCTCTGATGTAGAGGGCATTTCCTCTAATTCAATATCTCTTTCTCTATTATCGTTGTTTACCTTTAAAGTTATACAATTTGTAATTCTTGCACAACAAGTTCTGGTATCTTCTAATGCTAATAATCTATCATTTCTATTACAAAAGAAATGTCTTCTCCATAAATATCTAGCTACACGATATAGTATATAAATCATAAACATTTTTAAAATAGAGTAAAATATATAAGCAAAATAAACATTATTAACAACCTTATCAAAAATTGTTTCATTTTCCATTTGGTCAATAATATCATTAATATTATCTATCTTATGACTTGCTAAATTCAAACTTTCTAAATCTTATTTTTCAACTTTTTACAACATTCATCGGATACAATATCTATTTGTGGTAAAACTGAATTATAGTTACTTTCCAAACCTAATGTTTGACTTTGTAACATGATATTAGTACGCACATCTAGTTCTATAAAGTCATAAATGTCTTTATCTAAATTTTTCACTGGAGCGTATTAAAGATTTTTTTTGTCATAACTGTCGTTATTACTAATTTTGGTGTGTCAAGTGATTGCAATCGCTTTTTTTTAAAACTTTGGTTATCTATCTACGATTTAAATAAAAAAAGAAATAAAAGTAAGTTTATGTACAGTAAAAAAAATGCAAAATAGTGCAATAACTCCCACACTTGTGGCGTTATTGCAGTAAATTATGTCATGTTAGTAACTTACGACAGTTAGGTATAGAGTATTATTTTGTAAATAAAACACGAAAGTTACGAATCATCTGTTTATTAAATATATTTCAAATACTTATGTTACTTTCTTTCTGTAAGAATAGATAATTTTAGTTTTGAAAGTGAATTTTAAGTGGTCAGTTTCTCTAATCGCAACGTTCTAGCTTATTTCTATATTCAGCCTATTTAGCCTACTTATGTATCTTATCTTAATCATGGCACGGTAATCAGATCACATTTCTTATATTTAAAGAACCTAAAGAATTATAGAAGTCCGAAATTTAACTACTAACTAAATAGTCTTATTAATTATAATCATACTTTGGGAAATTAGTCTCAACATTTTAAAACATTAACGGTAAAAAATTGCCTTCTTCTGTGTAAATAAAATTATTAATTATTTAAAAAAAAGGACTGCTAAAATATAAAAATTGTTAACAGTAAGTCGCATCGCAAATTTATAGAATAGAAGCATAAAAATAGTTGTATTGCTTTGGCACAATGTTGTCGCGAATCAATTGTGCCAAATCTTTTTCTTTCGCTCTGAAATGGCTATTTGAGAATTTTATGCAGGTCTCAAAACCACATCTCGAGCACTGACATTATCTCTTCGTGACTTGCGCCAAGTTCTAGATCTTATGTTAATTGAAACTTTAGTCGAATGTTCTTCCTCATACGAAGTTTTGAATTCATACTCATCTTTCTTTTTAAAAAAACGGATCATTCGGATTTCTGACAGTTTAACAGCGTTTCCGTCAATATCTTTCGAACTATTCATTCCTATTTCTTCAGACAATATTTTCAGATCTATGAAATCATCGTAATTAAGTTCTTGAACTATGAAGCTTTCTCCGGTTTTCTTGGCATTGCGTATTAGTTGAACATATTGGCTTGGCACATAAATTGGGCCAGATTTTTTAGCCCTTTTAACAGCCTTTTCGATTATGGAATGTGCATTATTCCCCTCGTTCTGTGTGTGTCCACGCACCAAGAACTTGTGACTAACCGAGTTAATATTTAGTGTCGAAACAGCATAGTAATACATCCCAAGCATGTATCTGGAAAGAAACAACTAAATAAGCAGTTTGTTAGTAGATAGGTGTGCGAGTGGAGTGTGTTTGCATGTGTATATTGTGCATAATTGTGTGGATGTGCTCGATCTAAAGCTTACTGACAAAGATACCTGTTTTTCTGCTGACCGCAACAATTGTCCGAATAAAATACTACATCACAGTTGGGATGAGATTCAGCTATATTTTTAAAAAATTCTAAAACACAGGTTCCAATTTCTATTGCTCCTCGATTTCCTAAACATTCGTGCCAAAAATAGCATCTTGTAGTCTTGTTTTTGATATCAGTCACCTGAAATGGCAATAAATAGAATAATACGCACAAATTATTAATAAGTAAGAACATTTACGTGTCAATGAATAATAATTTACCGTGAAATTATAGCAGTTTAACTTGGACTTGTAGAAAAAGGCTGAGCTTTCTCCAATTGGTACAGGCATCACAGTCTGGAGATCGTAAATAGCAACAATTTTAGAGCTGTTAGGTTCCTTGCAAGACTTAATGTCTTTTGATTTTTCCTTTCTACTAAGTTCTTTCTGTTTTTGATGCTCTTTATATCTATGTTCTAAAGCCTCTTTTTCTTCATTTATAGCATTTTTATACGACTCACACAGGTCGCATTGATCCTTTTTGGGTATGAAAAAGGAAATGTTAAACTCCGTATTAAATATATGTGCGTAAAACTCATATTTTGCGGCATTTTTTTCAATGCTTCTCTTTCCTGCTTATAGTGTCTATATATTTCGGCAATAGTTAGACCACCATCAATGAATTCACGAGATGTGTTAACCCTAATGTAGTGGCTTTCGACTCGCGGAATGGCATTTATATGGTCACGTACGGATTGCGCGATTTCTGGGTCCAAATTAGTTTTTGAATGCTTCCCACGACGATCGATTGGAAGTATACTAGTACCACTGCATGTTGCTTGAATAACTGTACGTAACATCCTTTCGCCTATAGCCAAAGTGTTTAACAAGAAGGTTTTGCATACTCTAATAGGTTTTCCTTCTACTGAAAATGTAAAACAACAATTTGGTCGTCTTTCTTTTGTAGCATTTACTTTCAAGCGACGCACAGAAACATTGAGTACTGCCACACACGTTGACAAATAATCCCGTTGCCTCTGAAATGAATGAAGATTCCAGAAATTGTCAAACAATTTTTGCCTACTCTCTGTCGTTAATTTCGTTGAGCAAGATAATCGGCATTTACTTGTGCATGGAAGCTTCATTTAATTTCTCTTACCTCTCATAGAAATATATTCTTTTCCAGATTGCTTTAAGGACTTTCGCACATTTTGTTTCCAGGTCTCAGGGCTGATCTTTTACTACGAATTCTACGTTGGTTTGTTTCTGGCTCTTCAATCACGTCAATAGCTTCTGGCTGTTCAATCGAAACATTTTCGGTCATGTTGGGTTGGTCTAAGATGCTAGGAGAATGATGTGGAGGAGTAGGATTTAAAATGGGTGGGTGTGACGAAATATCTTCTAATATATTAGTTGGTGAAGGTGACTCAGGAATAAAAATATTATTGTTGTTAGTAACAAGAACTGGTGAAGCTCTTCTCAAAAGGGGAGAATACTTTTCCATTATTCGGCGAGCTTCTCACTGTTCAATCGAAACATTTTCGGGCATGTTGGGTTGGTCTAAGATGCTAGGAGAATGATGTGGAGGAGTAGGATTTAAAATGGGTGGGTGTGACGAAATATCTTCTAATATATTGGTTGGTGAAGGTGACTCAGGAATAAAAATATTATTCTTGTTAGTAACAAGAACTGGTGAAGCTCTTCTCAAAAGGGGAGAATACTTTTCCATTACTCGGAGGAGGAGGAGGATTCGGATTTATATATGATTCTGATGAATCATCATCCAATTGTTCAAAAGGATCTGAAATTAAAAAAAAAACATTAAAAGCAAAATTAAAATTAAAAGTTTAGCATTTAGCAAATTCAAACATTTCACATTTAATGCAGCTACAAAAATTGATACGAGAGTAACATTTAGCGTTTAGCCAATTTAACATTCTTATTTTTATATAAACAAACATTGTTCATATAAATAAATATTTCATCTCTATATATTTTATATTATTATTTGTATATTTTACAGCTAAATTTGATTCAACTTAATCGTAATAGCTGACGCACGTTGCAGCTAAAAGGTAGCATCCATGGAAATTTGTTTAGATACAACTTAATATAACTTATATAGCTTATTCACTTTTTATCACTGGCACCATATAATATTCAATATGTTCTTTAAGTTTAACTTACTGCTGTAATACAGCAAAAAGTTTCGATCTGTGTTTTCTATTGCCAGACATAAGAAGTGATTTAATTGTATAACAATCATATCAAACATGCTGCCTTTTTGCTGCAACGCGCGTCACCTTTATTATAATATGTCAAACTCATATTTCTAAACTTTTCAAAAATGTCGCATAGCAATAAGACGTCGCATTTTAGATATAAATCTGTATACTCTCCTATGTTTTTAATGTCAAAAGATTTCCATACTTTCAAAGCGTGATCGTAATCCTCAATGGAAATATTTTCACCCGAGAGCTTATTAAAAAAATTCGAATGTTCTGGCAACTTCGTTTCATTATATTTTTCCCATGTATCCATATAGTCATAACAGTATACACCCTTTTTACAGGCCAAATTAAATAAGCGATCATCTTCAATAAATGTACGCATATGCTGAAAATCATTTGAATGTAGACTCTTTGCCAGTTTATCCTAACCAGAACTCGAAAAATTAAAGGAATCGATAAACTTCAGTTGAGCAGCATTTGTTTTATCAATAGGTATAAATTTTGTAAATGAAATATATTTATCTTTAGATTTTGGTATGAGAGTCGTTTTTCCAATAATATCTGATAATTCTTTTATAAATAAGTGACAATCATAACCACTTAAATTATGAAAAATTATTGGTATAATTGGTATAAATGGCATTGTTTCGCATTTATGTTACAAGTGTTGTGATCAGGGCCTCTTTATTCGCCTGTAAAATGGTCATGATCCTTTACTATTTTATCAGTTTTTTTAAACAAAGTTTTACAGATGCAACACGCTTTTGCCTCATTATGTAAAATTAACTGTTCACTTGTAAGAGGAAGCATTGGTTTGCTCGAGTTTAAAATACTATAGTTTTTTAACATCTTATGTAATGCTCTCAACAAATTTTTTACCACAGTTTCGGTTTAAAGAACTTTATTTCTCATTACGAACAAGTCTTTTACATGAGAAACATATATAAAGATATAAGGAATTATGACAGTTGATCAGTAGAACTGGGAACATTAGTTACAAAGAATATATTAATATAACCTAGACTTAAAGCTATTGAAAGTTTTTGAATTTTTTATTTCTTTCGGTAAACTATTATAGAGTTTTGCTCCCTCAAAAGTTATATTTTGCTGTCCAGACTTGGTTCTGGTTATGGGTAGCTCTAAGTGGCTAGCACGCCGAGTAGCATAACTATGTGTTGAACCTTTTTTTACAAAAGATATCTCTGCAGTATGAAATGTTTTATCTATTATTTTACGCATGAGTGTACAGGTGGTGTAGTAGTGCAATTGTTTTATGTTCATTAGCTTAGTTTCTTTGTAAATTTTTTCAGATGATGTTAAGTAAGGGTAATGGAATAGTAGTTTTATTAATTTGTTTTGTGAGACTTGTAACTGAGCTAGTTTAGATTTTGACGCCATACCCCATATTTCAATCAGATATAACAAATGTGGTTTTACAAGGCTATTATAAATCATTAAGCGCACTCGACGCGGTAAACATCGGGCCGTAATTCTAAGAGAACCGATTAATCTGGAAAGTTTGCTTATTATGTGGTCAATATGCGAATTATAAGTTAAATTGGTGTCCAGTATTAAACCTAAATATTTTTCCTCCTTCTTTTCTTCCAATTGAACATTATTGATTGTAAGGGTTGTATGGTTATGAATTTTTTTGTTCCTTGCTTTAAAGATGATATAACAGGTTTTACTTATGTTGATGGTGAGTAAATTGCATTGAAACCACGTGTGAAGTTTGTCAAGATCTTCCTGTGCCTGAGAGATAATATCATTTATTGAGGACCCAAAGTAAAATAAGCATGTATCGTCAGCATAAAGTGTGAGCTCACCGTGTAGGTCTAATTGATGAATGTTGTTGATGTATATTAAAAAGAGCAAGGGTCCTGAGATGGAATCTTGTGGAACTCCATAGTTTATGTGTGTTGGTTTGCTCGTGTGTTCATTTATTTTAACAATTTGCTGCCTATTCGTTAGGTAAGAACGAAACATATTCAAGGCATTACCAGTGACACCAATGCATTCAAGTTTCTGTAAAAGAATTGGATGGCTAACAGTATCGAATGCTTTCTTAAGGTCGATAAAGACTCCTAGGACTATGTTTTTTTTATCAATATTGGATTTTATTTTAGTTGTTAAGTCTATTGTGGCTGAAAGTGTGTTAGATTTGGGCCTGAATCCGTACTGTCTTTTGAAAATAAAGTTAATTGAATCTAAATAGTTGATTAATCTGGTATATAATATCTTTTCAAGAATTTTTGATATCACTGGCAACACCGAGATGGGTCGGTAATTACCTGGGTCTGTTTTTGTACCTGCCTTATAAATTGGGCTAACTTTTGCAATTTTTAGTATATCGGGAAAGTTCCCCTCCTGTAGTAGGCTATTAAAAGATAAAGTAAGGCTATTAGTGATCAAATTTTTAATACATTTTATACTTTTAGTATTAATTCCATCAATACCGATACTTGAGTTGGAATCTAGTTTATTTATAATGGTGTGAATTTTGTCTGTAGTACATGGTTCAAAGGTCGATCACTCATTGTTAATGTTATCTACGCAAGGAAGAATATAAGACAGATTGTTGTGAAAATTACCCGAAATGCCATTAGCAAGAGTTGTACCTATCGTAGAGAAATACTCATTGAATGTGTCGCATATTATTACAGGATCGGTTATTAGGACATTATTGACTATAAGTTTCGGGGGAGCAGAACTTTGATCTTTTATTTTGTTAGTTGCTAAATCATTGATTAATCTCCACATTTTTTTAGGTTTTCTGAGACAATTTTCAAATTCTTTACTGTAATAAATATCTTTGGCATTTTTAATTTTTCTAAGCGTGTTTTCCTTAGTCACTTCAAATTCAGCTTTTAAAACATTATCACTTTGGTTCATTTATGCTAATATTTGGATTGTTCTTCTCAAAAAGTTTAACGTCTTTAATTCCTGGGGGAAATGTCATATTCTTTATATCGAACAGTAACGAGTAATGGGGATATGATGTTACTCTATTGGAATTAAATTTTGAGGGATACATTTTAGCAGCAATACACCATAAAAAGCAATGTTCATCCAAATTACGAATATTTAAACACAATTTTGTACTTCTTACAAAAGGTGGTAAAGGCAAATAGGATCCAGCTTTCAGAGGATTATATTTGTTTATATTTATCTCTAAATGGCTCACAGAATCAATCGACCAACCAGATTCAGTATGTTCGAAGTCTGCACATTTACAAATTAACTTTTGAGCACTTTGAAATAAAAAAAATCAATATCTGTACTTTTAACAATTGTACTATAATTTGTGCTGAATGATTTCATAGACTTTTCTAATTTTTTAGGTAAGATATATGAAACAAATAGTTCAAAATTTATCTTGATAGCACCATGCTTTTTCAGTGAAATATTTATGATCTCACTTATATGTTTAAATATTTGTGATAAGAACTGCCCTGGAACCAAAGTTGGAGGGAGAATTTGGATTTATTTTGTAACTTATTATTCTGTTTCTAAAAGCCGTTCTTATAATTTGCACATTCTCATACCCAGATTGAAACAAACTATTACTTTTATGTGTATTTGTTCTGTTATGCGATGATATAGATTTTTTTACATAAATATTACATTCCTTGCAGAAAAACATTATCAATATTTTATATTGTCTTTTTCAGCGAATCCACTATCTAGTTAATTTATCTAGTTTCTAGTTTCTCAGTTCTTGTAATATTTTGTATATAAGATTTTGTTCAATAATGAAATCAAGTTATTTTAAGACAAAAAGTAAGAAGTTATTTATAGATTAAAAGGTAGCAGATTACTTTTGACGCTTATTGAAATATTTCAAAGAATCAACCTCTAGATATACTTAATATTTAGTATCTAGTTTGCAGTGTTTTAGTTCTATATATTTTGAGTACTATATTATGATTCTAGTTTCTCAGCTTTATTTTTTAAACTTTGGCTGTAAGATTTTACTGTAAGGAAAAAAGTAATCAAGTTATTTTCAGACAAACGTAAAAACTTGATAAGAATTTAGATGTAACAGGTTATATATTTCAAACCTTTTGTGCCTTATTATCTAGTATCTCGATTTGAATGGTTTTAAATTTGTATGGTTTTAGTTTTAGGTTCTAGTTTTATGGTTCTAGTTTTTATGGTTTTGGTTTTGCTGTAAGGAAAAAAGTAATAAGCTAGCTGCAGAGAAAACATGAGAATTAGTAATTTTATTGTTATATAATATAGCAGGTTACAACACGTATATGACCAAAAAAATTCTACATAACTTCTGTCACAATTATTATTTTTCATTCGTTGTGTATAAAATAGGCTGAATGTGCTTTAGTTCATCCTTACTATCGCTTATTAATTTAGTAAGTGATTGCCATACCGCCGACTGGTAATTAGTGGCAAGTTTTAACGTGCAAATTGCGTGTTTCCAGCGTTGCAGGAATCTTCTCTACTTCGTCAGCGTTGTATACAAGAAGCTCGAAAAAATAATTTCCTCGTTTAGAGAGATCGGATTGAGTTGTATAACCCGACGCGACGCGCTGACTTAGGAAACTTCTTAATTTCTCAGCGCGCAGGGGTTTGCTTTCCTCCTGAAAATAGTAAAAAGTTCAATTTAGTGTCATGTAAAAAAAAAATATTCAATTTGAAAAAAGTTTTTTACACTACGACATACAACATTAAAGCACTTTAGTTAAGTTTGCGATTTTAATAAATTTTGATTACTAAAAGTACAAGTACAATTCCGACGTCTATCTTCAAAACTCATTATCAGATCATGATGAAATTTTTATCAGGTAGGTACACTCTTTAGCCTTCCTTAACGTAAATCCATTGATATATAATCTTAACACCTTTTCTTTCTTCTAAACCATAAAGTGGCATATAACAGCTAAGTGTGAAAGAATGCTTGAACATTTAATTAAAAATATCTATACTAAGAATACCAAATAAAACCTCCTTGTTAAGAGCAATTTCGTCGAAAACTTTAAATTAAAAATAAAATCTCTACTAATTTTATAAATGTTTTGTTTGTTGGGCTGCCCTTCAACCACGTCTCAACATAGCCACGGATCGAGATGATTTTTTGATTAAATATAATTGAACATGGAGATTATAATAGTCTATTTTTTATCATGGGAAAACAAATACTTATTGGGAATTGTGAAAAACCTAACTCAATGGGAGCGGCGTCGGAGGTAAAAAATAAAGTTGACAACTTACCTCGGATTCTAAAATAGTTTTTCTTCGTTTAACAGTAGGTGTGGTCGGAGGCGTCTCGACTTCTGAGTCTGATCCACTCGAAAAAAGATTTTTTGGGGCAGAAGTTAATTCTTTTTTCTTGGTCGGTTTCTTCTCGCCTCGCCTCGCGCTTCTTCTTTTCACTCTTTGACTTCGACGTAGTTGGCGGCGGTGCTAAGGCCTCGGAATCCTCGTCTTCGCAAAACGGATTGAATGATGAAGAGGCCCTGAAATAAATAATGTTAGTTAACATGTTAGACAAACTTTAATGTTTAATTAATAAGTAATGAAAAATCAAAGAGTATTCTACGTAAGCCTATTTCAACACAAATAAAAGTGTTTAATTATAAATGTTATAACTTTAAATAAATAAACTAGTTAATATATTATGGATATTATAATAGTAAAAATAGTTAGGTTCTTACATATTTTATTTCGGATGTTGAGTGTACATACGAATAAGGTTCAATTTAGAATACGAAGTTTGAATGGTTTTAAATAAAAGATGCGTGTGCTCAGCTTAGAGGTTTATTTCTCTCTCTTTGACGTATCCGGTTACTCCGGTGTAGTGACATAATTATTGACACAGATAACTAAAATATTAATATGGCATTTTCACATAGACATTGAGTGTTCCTTGTTCAGAAGTCGTGTAAGACATAGAATGAATTAGATGAATCCGGAGTATTTATACACTTGAATTCTAAAACCTTTTTCATATTAAACAATCCAAATTGAATTAAATTAGAAATCAAAGTTTGTACATATAATTTTAAATGTTAAAGAAATTTGCTATAGAGTTTATATTTGCAAAAGCGGTTTTAATAAATTAATGTTTTCGTATGAAGACTACTTTACAAATTAAATATTGCTGTATCAGCTATAGGTGTTCGATTATTATCTTCGCAAGAATCTCATTTTGTTTATATTTGCACCGTAAATTGATATCTTACCTTAAAAGGAATGGTATGCGCCTTATTCCCTATGGCTCAATGATTAAAAACATAGAAATAATAGATATTATTTTAAAAGATAAAAGGTGTGTGTTCATGAACTTAGAAATCAGTCGTATTTCGTTATGTAACAAGTGTAATTACACCGACTTATGGGCTGCTAAATGGATTATATTTAAACCGTTGATTAAAATTGATTCCGCGCACCTTAGTGTTCGTCTGTTGCATTGTTTAACAGCGTCTGTTACATTAATATTTTATTAATATTATTATTTAATATTAAATATTTTATTTACGAAACTATCAATAAACATACGAAATAAACTTACTGTATCCCAAATATCCTAATTATGCTACTCAAATCGCAAGACTGCGAAGTTTTGACACCTGGCCTCAAGCTTTAAATCAAAAACCTCAAGAAATGGCGGATGCTGGTTTTTTATACAGGGAAAAGTGATCGAGTTATTTGTTACTTTTGTGATGGCAGGCTCAAGGACTGGGACATCGATGATCGTCCTTGGTCAACGCATGCCCGCTGGTTTCCTTCTTGCCCCTATGTTTTACTTGTAAAGGGTGAAAAATACATTCAAAGTATTGGCAAAGATGTGTGTGGTATAGCACAAGGCTGTGAACAATCTGCAAACAACAATGTACTTAACCCTATACCCGCAAAAAGAAATATATCTGTTGAAAATATGAAAGAAATATTTAAACTATTATGCAAAATTTGTCGAGCCGAAGAAGTAGCCGTCTGTTATAAACCGTGTGGACATGCTGTAACATGTACTAAGTGTTCTCTATCATTGAGTAAAATGATTTGTCCCATATGCAGAAAAACAATCGAAAATGTAATGAGAATTTATTTTTCTTGAGCTTTTAAATAGTCCTATTAACCATGAGCATTGTCAATTATCATAATTCATAACAGTCGTCATGCGTTAGTTCTGTAAACGACCAATAGTCATACTCGTAAATATACAATCATAGAGAGTACAGCGTGTACCCGATTGATTGCGAGTGAAAACTTTAAATGTTTACAATTAACATGTTATGCGCATTGCCTCTCGAGTCTCGTCTCAGTTTCATCGAGCCATTAGTCATTGTACTGCAAGTGTCGCTCGTATAATATAAGATCACCAAGATTGCGAGTGCAAACTTTAAATGTTTACAATTTACATGTCAGGCGCAGTGCCTCTCGTCTCAGTTTCGTCGAGCTACTCGTATTAAATCATACTGCAAGTGTCGCTCTTATGATATAGGATCCCCAATAAACTAGTTAATTGGGGATTCTGTATCACATTTGGGGTGAAACATACAATTGTCTGAACGATTTGTTGGCACCGCAAAAACCCGACACAAAAAGTACTCAGAATCAACAAGTTTGCTGAAAACTCAGTATGGAACTAATCATTTGGTAATAGCAGAAAGATATAAGTATTGGTCAGCTGTACAAGAAAGTGGAGAAGATTTAAAGACTTTTTCCACTAGATTAAGAAACCTTGCAAAAATTGCGATTTTAAATCTTTTTTACCAGACGCTTTGCGTGATAAATTTGTTTGTGATGTTAAGTCAAATATAATAAAACGTAAATTCCTGACACTTGAACCATTGCCCACATTTGATAAAGCTTTGAGGACAGCCATTGCTGTAGAACTGGCTGATGACCAATTACAACTATTCGAGTCAACGGGTTCAGTCAATAAGTTGAAATTTCATAAACAGAAGTTCAACAAGTCAAATGTAAATAAGTCAAGGTTTAGCCAGCAGGTAATAGTCGTCAAGATAATAATAGTACCAGGAAAGTCACACAAGATCACAAAAATAATTCTTCCTGCAAGCGGTGTCTCCGAGTACATTTCAACAATAGAAAATGTCCAGCAATAGATTGAAAATGTTATGCATGTGGTCATATAAGTCATACTGCAAAATCAGTGTTGTGTAAAAACCGAGTTCATAACTTGTCAGATGAAGAGATTCAGCAAGATGAAGATGAAGACATTGATGATTCATTGAACTAGGTTGGTTATGTCTGAACACTATAGGTGGAGAAACATGACAGTCTTAAAGTGAAGTAAATATTTAAGGTAAAGATATTATAATGGAAGTTGATTCAGGTGCTTGTAACTCCCCCCCCCCCCCAACGTGCGTTCACCTTGTCGTGGTGGGGAGGCTCAGTAGTGCCCGGCAACCCAACCGGGCGCGAAGCCAAGAAACGCACAGGGAGGTGTCCCACTTCGGTGGGCGGTGGGAGGTGGCCCTCTTCGGAGGGAAGTGTACCATGCGGGTTGCTCCTGATACTTCTCTGATAACAGAGTGGACTGTGGAGCAACCCCGTGGTTGTTGTGGTCTGCTTCGGCAGACCTGCCGTCGGGGCGTCGTAGTTGAATGCGTAAGCGATCCTGCGACGCCCCATTAAGACGGGGGAAGGTTTTGTTGGGTTTTAGTGGGAAGTACTGGCTTTGCCGGTGAGTCCCACACCTCGTGCGTAAATGCATTTCCCAACGTTAAAAAAAAAGGTGCTTGTAACTCAGTTATGCATATTGATGATTATTATGAGTTATTTTCAAATATTGATAATTTACCTGTGAATTTTAAATTAAAAGTAGTCACTGGTCAAAATGTATCAATAGTAGGGAAAATTTAAGTAAAATTGCAGTACAATAACCAGGTTTACAAAATTACCTTTAGTTATTCTAGACAGTTTAAACCGATTTACACCATTATTGGCTCGTAAATGGTTAAGTTTTGTAAATCCATCTTGGAAAAATCTCTTAGTAGAGTCAAAATCAGTAACAAATAGTCAAGTCTTGTCAAAGTCTGTCAAAAATAGTGTGTCATATCATACTTATGTCGAGTGTAATCAAAATGTTTGAATAGTAAAATCGTTTTATTTATTTTCAGATTCTAGTCATGTCCCTTTTTAGGCCGATTTTGCAATATCCAGAAGATAAACTGACACAAGCTTTATATGCTATACGAAACGACATCAAAATTAGAGAAGTCAGCAGAGTTTACAGTGTTCCTCGTACGGTACGGTACGTTGGAAGACAGGCTTCATCTTCAAGTAACTGAAGGTCCTAGAAAAATGGGTTCTGATTCTATTCTTTCCAAATCTGAAGAAACAGAGATTGCAAACTGGCATATATCTCTTGCAGATTGCGGATTTTCCCTGAAATTTGACAATCTTTTAAATACTGTTCAAAATATAATGATTGAACGTGGTAGGCCTAATCCTTTTATTAATGGGAGACCAGGTAAGAAATGGTTGCAATCTTTTTTTAGAAGAAATTTATTGCTTTCTTTAAGGACACCTAAGGTGATCTCAAAATGAAGAGCAATAATTACATAAGAAATCATTAGAAAGTGGTTTGATTATAACTTAAAAAAATATCTCATTTCTATCGAAGCACCTATATCTGCTAGAAGACCCTCAACAAATATTTTATGCATATGAAGCATGAAACTAGTTTTATCATTTGGCCTAAAACTGGTAAAGGCACCACGTGGATATAAAAATGTGTATCAAATTGTTAAGGGAAAAGAAAAAGAAGCAATTACTGTTCTAGGGGTTTTTACTGCAAATGGCGATATTTTGCCTCCATCGTTCCTCAGTCGTTTTTCCTTATATTAGACCACCCAAAGACGTTGTGAACAGCAAGCCTGATAGTTGGTTCCTTAGCAAATCTGACACTGGTTGAATGAAAGCAGACATATTATATATAAAAAGTGGCTCAACGAATGGATACAAGAAAATAATGTAAAAACCAGTACTTGTTTTTGATGATGGTTATATAAGCCACATGACAATGGGGCTTGGGTAGTACTGTTACGATAATAATATCATATTAGCTTCCACCCAATACAGCTCATTAGATGCAACCAGCAGATGTCAGTGTATTTAAACCGCTTAAATCTGAATGGACGTCAACTTTACATGAGGGGTATTCTCAGGCAGATAACTTGAATTCTGTACAAACCAAAGCAACCTTTTGTTCACTACTTGACAATATTTTGCAAAAGTCAACAATAATAGCATCTATTAAAAATGGTTTTCGCAAATGCGGTTTGTATCCATATAATCCAGATGGGGTGGATTATTCAAAATAATTTAGAAAATAGTAAAGCCACTACGCACAATTCTACAAAATCTCCGTTAAAGACATTGAAAAAGAAAGAGTTTGATACTACAACTAAAATCATAAAGCATTTAAACAAAGATCTGACTGTGTGTGGTATCAGTGTGGAAATTGGACTACAAGTTATAGAAAATGCAAAACTTTACCAAGGATTGAATGATTCAGTTAAAAGTAATACTGTCTGCGCCACATCGGCACCGAGAATCGGAACGCAGCCGCAGCCCTCACGCTATTGGCTATCCGCAGCCCTCACGCTATTGGTACCACGCGCAGCATGACGCGATAACAAGCCAATGACAAGATCGGAAAATCACGACATACGCACGCCACGTTCTCAACCTCCGCTAATGATGCCAACACATTACCACCTGTCACGGCATCGAACGCGCGTCGTGTCCTAAGCTAATTTTAAATTTTCTAAACCTCAAATTATGTGTATTTGCCTAAAGTACTAATTATAATTACATCATTAAATCTACGCATTTTATTTAAAGTTTGTTCCCTATCTCGAACAAATACTACTGAAAATGAAAACAAAAAAGAGAAAGTAGATGTCGATCAGGAAAGAATCAATAAAATTGATGAATGTATTGTTCAAAAAGACAAAAAAAAATTATCAAGTAAATGACTTTTTTTATCGTAAATAGAGTTCACGTCTTTTTATCTCAAGAATTTAAAAAGGTACAAATTTACTTAAGATTTATTTCAAACACTGCCAAAATATAGTAATTCTAAATTACACCTAAGTGAAAAACAAGAAAAAAGTTATTGTTAGGGAAAAGGGTTAAAAAGGAAAGATTCATGAGAGAAAAACCATAGAGCAAATAATTTTAATTACATATTGTCATGTTCGAGAAAAAAATTGCTAAAAGTATGGAAGTAAAATATTCAATCTATGAAAACTTAAGACGCTCAAGTAGTGACATTATAATATGATGAATATAAAGGAAGAGAATCAAAAGAAAAAGGGGGAAAAAACAAAATGACAAAAACAAGATCTAACAGGTGCTGACAAAGTAGAATATACTTCTAGTATTGGTTTACCAACACTTCATGACAAACCTAATTCAATACCACTCTCGAAGTATAACGATTTAAAGCGTTTATGTACTAACGAAACTATACCAAAGCGTTTTCATAAGGAGTATTTAGATCTACCGTTTTTAGGAACTGTTTAAGTCAAAGACGATATCGACGCAATTGATATTTAAGATTTTTTACTTTTAAAATATTAATCCACATTTAGGTTAATTTCAGTCACAATTAGGGAAAAATGCTTTTTGTTCCAAAATGTAATGTTCCCAGTGGGACTTGAATTCATAACCCCGCTAGGAGCATTGAATTTTGGAACAAAAACAAAAAAGATTTTTATGAAGGAACCAATTTTTGTGGACTCTCATTTTCGTCAATAATTAAGTTTGGTTTATTTTGTTCATTTATAGGGATAGAACACGAAAAAATAGTTGCGTTTTCAAAGTAGTTCACATTATGAATATAGATAGTACTTTATTTGAAAAAAATATTAGACATAAACATATTTTTTTGGCTCTACTGAAAACTCGTGTTTTATACTTCACGACAATTGAAATTTCCGGTATCGATATATTCAGCTTTTACAGAACAGAGTATCAGGAATTTAGTAAGAATAGCACGCGAGCAGCATAAAAGTTCAACATGGTACGAGCTTCGATATGCTAAAATAACAGCATCTAAGCCTTTGATGTGACTCGCTGTAAAACATCAGATAGCCTGTTTATATGACAAGAGTATCCTTTAGGTAGCAGACAGCAGTATCTCCTGATGGTATTTTAAACGCTGATATTGTTATAGAAATAAAGGGTTCAATGAATGAAAGATCTTACAAAAAATATGTTTCAAACAACCAAGTCACTGCCAAGCATTTTGCACAAGTGCAGCTACAGATGCACATAACTAAATTGGAAAAGTGTTTATTTTGTGTGGCATCGTGTGAGATCGAAAAGAATAATAAAGTCAATATTGAACCCATAGAGTATAATGCTAAATATATAAACGACTTACTATGTGAAATAGGAACTTAGCACATCGAATATACTTCCTGTGTGGGTTATATCCTTAATTTCTTGTTTCATATGGTTTCGGAGCAGACTCAGGTTTTGCTTTACTTTTACTTTCTATTGCATTAATTTTCTTTTCATTTTTCTTTGGCAGTTTTAATGTTGGTTTTAGGTAGGTTGTTTAACACGGGGTTAAAAGTTGCATTAAAAGAGGCAAAAGATTCATAATTTTTTGGTTCTTTAGAGACTTGCATACATTATTGTTATTTTGAGCTGCTTGTGATCTAGGAACACGCTTCCTTTTTATAGTTTTTAGGGGTAGTGGGGGAACATATTTTAAAGAAGGAGAGTCTATGAAATTAAGAATTTTAAATAAAAATATATCTCGCCGTGTTCGACGATTTTCAAGTCAAGAGTAGGTTAAATGTAAAGTGATCATAGTAAGGATATCTGTATTTAAGATGTTTTATGAATTTACTTCGTATTTTTTTAAGATCCTTCATATGTTTACCATAAAATGGATTCTAAATAATTTAACCATATTCTAAGATAGATTTTACAAGCGAATTATAAAGAAGAATCAAAGTCTTAATATTTTTGAAATCTCTACTTGTTCTCAGTATAAAGCCAAACATACGAAAGGCCTTCGCTGCCATGTATGTAATGTGAATCCTAATGTGAAACCTAGATCTCGCCCCTCAGTGACTCTCTTAACATATTCATTATTTAAGTGATCATTTGTGTTAATGTGTGTTAATCGCAGCCAAATAACACTGCTCTATGACGGTGTTGTGTTCCTGCGGTGAGTAAGGTATCCAGAGCTCCAGAGGATTTATTGTGTTGATAGAGAGGGGCCGGTGATGCAAACGGCACAGTCATCGGCCGGTGTAGGCGCGGTGTGTGGGCACAGCGGTCAGTGAGACCCAGTGAAACGGTTCGTCGCTGGCCGCCCGCGGGTCAGTAGAGTTCCCGAACCCAGGGATTACCTAATCTCCGCCCTGGGAGGCTGAACTGCCAACCCGCGTAAAATCCCTGCTGTAGCAGTCGTGCCGGAGGAGGAGACCGGGGTGGACCCGGCTGATGCAGTGGGGGGGGACTGGGGGCCCTCTCGTACGCTGCGCTGACAACCCGTACTACCTATGCTAGCCTGTGGCTGGTCTGCATTGCAAATTTGCCCCTTTACCTATCAACACAACAAATCCTCACAACAACCTATAAAACACCCCCACCAAGAAAATGAAGAACGAAAGGAAAAAGAGTAAGTGTTACACAGCGGCTCCCATCTCCACACAAGTGGACTTCTGCAACATCAGGGGGCTCCATGCAAACCTCAGCGCAGTCCATCACCATCTGGAGACTGCGCAGCCGACCTTACTATTCCTCACGGAGACGCAAATATCTTGCCCGGCCGACACATCATATTTGCACTATCCCGGCTACAAACTAGAACATAAGTTTCTAAGACGTGCCGGTGTATGCATGTTCGTTCGGGAGGATATCTGCTGTCGCCGTCTCCTTCATTTAGAGGACAGGGACCTCTCGATATTGTGGGTGCGCGTGGACTACGGTGGCCACACCCGTATTTATGCGTGCCTATACAGGTCTCATAGCGGTGACAGGGAAACAAAAAGACTCTTCGAGCACCTGCAATTGACGACGGACAAAGTTCTTGAGCAATACCCCTCTACGGAGTTGGTGATTTTAGGAGACTTTAACGCCCACCACACTGAATGGCTCAGTTCTCGGTCCACTGACTACGCGGGGAGGTGTGCTCACGAATTTGCTCTGGCCTATGGTTACTCACAACTGGTGCATTCTCCTACAAGAATACCAGATATTGAGGACCATACGAGCTCAATACTGGACCTTCTGCTGACTCAACGTCCGGATGGATATACCATCTCAGTAGATGCACCACTTGGCTCGTCCGACCACTGCCTTATCCGGACTCTTGCACCATGCGCGCGCCCAGATCCACCTCGGCCAACTAGCTTGCGGCGCATGTGGCAGTATAAGTCAGCAGATTGGGATGGATTGCGAGAGTACTTCGCATCGTACCCGTGGAGGCAATTGTGCTTCACATCAGAAGATCCCGACATCTGCGCAGCTGCTGTCTCCGAGACAATATTGGCGGGTATGGAATGTTTCATTCCAAACTCGCTAGTTGCTGCCGGGAAAAAGAAACGACCGTGGTTTAATCGGCCTTGTAAGAAAGCGAGATACATTAAGCAAGCCGCGTTCAGGGATTGGATCACGGCTCGGAGTAATAGCGATCCAAATCTTTCTGATGTGAAACGCAAACTAAATGCCGTCTCGAGGTCCAGTAAAAAAACAATTGTCAGAGCTTTATTCGAGTTCATCGGGAGAATTGGCGAAAAGCTGGCTAGTTACCCTTCCGGGAGTCGAGCCTTCTGGTCGCTCGCCAAAGCTGCCGAGGGGAACTTTTGTCTGTCGTCCTTACCACCACTGCAAAATGCCGACGGCAACCTGGCCCATAGCGCCAAAGAGAAAGCCGATCTACTAGGTACACTCTTTGCCACAAACTCGACTTTGAAGGTCAATGAAAGCGCCGCACCGCCAACCATCCCACGGTGTGGACACTCCATGCCGGAAATAAATTTCTCACAAAGAGAAGTCCGGCGGGAGCTGCTAAGTCTTGATGTTCATAAGTCGAGTGGGCCCGACGGCATACCAGCAGTGGTACTCAAACAGTGTGCTCCTGAGTTGTGCCCTGTACTAACGCGACTTTTCGCACTTTCCTACCAATCTAGGCAAGTACCGTCTTCGTGGAAGACCGCCCATGTGCACCCGGTGCCCAAAAAGGGTGATAGATCAGACCCATCGAATTACAGGCCTATCGCTATTACCTCTCTTCTCTCCAAGGTTATGGAGCGTGTTATTAATACCAAGCTCCTCAGATACCTAGAGGAACACGATTTGATCAGCGACCGGCAATACGGCTTTCGCCACGGTCGCTCGACTGGTGACCTTCTAGTGTATCTGACACACCGGTGGGCTTCAGCCATCGAGAGTCAAGGTGAGGCGTTGGCAGTTAGCCTAGATATAGCAAAGGCGTTCGATCGGGTCTGGCACCGGGGTCTTCTCTCGAAGTTGCCATCTTACGGACTACCCGAGGGCTTGTGCAAATGGGTTGCCAGCTTTTTATCTGGTCGATCCATTAGAGTCGTCGTTGATGGCTGCTGCTCGGAAAAACTAGATATAAACGCTGGCGTCCCGCAAGGTTCTGTGCTGTCTCCAACGCTTTTCCTTCTGCATATCAATGACTTGCTGTCTATTGATGGCATTCATTGCTATGCGGACGACAGCACTGGAGACGCTTTCTACACAGGCCGTGCAAACATCCCTCGCTCCGCTGTGGTAGAAAGTCGCGAACAACTTGTGTCTCAAATCGAGAGTATTCTTTCCAGAGTCTCCGATTGGGGTCGGGACAATTTAGTCCAATTTAACCCCTCCAAGACACAAGTTTGTGCGTTCACCGCTAAGAAAACCCCATTTACTGTGGCCCCTCAATTCCAGGACACACCCCTAACCATCTCCAACAGTATTGGTATTCTTGGTGTCGACATATCCAGCGACGTCCAGTTCCGAAGTCACCTGGAAGACAAGGTCAAGCTGGCATCCAAAAAGCTAGGTGTGCTTAATAGAGCGAAGCGGTACTTCACGCCGGGACAAAGACTGCTTTTATATAAATCGCAAGTCCGTCCCCATATGGAGTACTGCTCGCATCTCTGGGCGGGAGCACCGGCATACCAGCTTGGGCCTTTTGACTCGGTTCAGAGGAGAGCTGTGAGAATTGTCGACGATCCAATACTCACAAGCGATATAGAGCCCCTAAGTCTAAGAAGAGATTTTGCGTCCCTATGTGTGCTCTATCGTTTGTACAATGGGTTGTGTTCCGAAGAATTGTTCGAAATGATGCCCACGGCCACTTTCTATCACCGCACCGCTCGCCATCGACAGGGAGTTCATGCTCACACATTGCAGCCCAAATGGTCCCGTACAGTTCGGTTTCAGAGGAACTTTCTCCCACGGACCATCTCGCTGTGGAATGAACTCCCTGCCGAGGTTTTCCCAGAGGGCTACAGTATGGGGTCCTTCAAAAGGGGAGTAAATAGGTTTTTAAAGGGTCGGCAACGCGCATGTGATGCCCAAGGTGTTGCAGGCGTCCATAGGCTGCGGTAACCGCTTACCATCAGGCGGGCCGCATGCCTGATTGCCACCGACGTGGTATAAAAAAAAAAAAAAAAAAAAAAAATGTTAGACTTACGTGAAAATGTGTAAAATAGTATTTATACAAATTATGCAAGTCATTTTGTTACAATAAAGAGTCTGTAGGTGGCGTGATAGATCTGAAGATCTTCATATCATCAGCATACAGTAGAATATTAGAGTTCATGAAAACATGTATCACGTCATTTATAAATAAATTAAATAGAAGAGGTCCTAGTTGGGAACCCTGGAGAACGCCGGAAGTTATTGGGGGAAATGAAGATGTATAGCTTTTATCACTGCTTGGCTTCGGTTAAAAAGGTAAGAAGAGAACCAACGGAGCAAAGCATTGCTTGTTGCAAAGCAAACTTGTTGCCGACTTCCTCCCATGTGAAACGATTAAATTTCTAGGGCATATTTTAAATTATAATTTTCAGAAAATTCCACGTCAGCTTCATGAATATTTAAGTTTTCCTTCGGACATTTTATAACTTTCTATTGGTTATTAATTTTATATGAATGGTCCAAGTACTTTGGCAGTTCATTTTTCAGTTTTTCAATAGCTTCCATAGGTTTCTTTCGTAAATTTTGTTGACTCAAAAAATGTTAAATCTGTATTGTTTACTTTCTTGATAATAAAACAATTATTAGGTCTTTGGTGTACTTTATTAGCTTAATATTTTAATTACAAACTTGTTTAATATTTTATCTTAATATAATATTAACACGACCGTTCACCACAAGCGATACCCAAAGAGAGAGAGAGGAAATCAACTGTCATCAACATTGACATATTATATTTGTAACGTTCCGTTACTACATCATCCCCCTTAAAAAACAAAAAAAAATAACTTTATTTCCCAGTGACAATATTATATAATACTTAAACAAAATAAAATTGCTATTAATATTACAAGACTTTTATACAAAATTTAAATTTACCTATCTTCTTTTACTATTCAAGTTCTAAACAAAATTATTATTATTATTACAAAACTTTTATACAATTTTATATTTACTTTATCCTCTTCATCCCCCTTTATTAACATATGATAAATTTTTAAACAAAATAAATATAATATTAGTCTTAAGGCGCTACCCTGACCAAATAACCTTGAGCATTCGTTCCCTCTTTGCCGCACCTCACCTCTATAATACTTCGTAAAGCAGTACTAGCGCCATCTAGCGATCACCTTCCGAATACAAGTAAAAATCGCAGACCTAAGAATTCACAGACATGGCATTATGGCATTCAATAAAAATATCTTTTTATGAAATGTTTATTGGTGCGCCAAAATAATTTTGATCATGATGAATCTAGTGACTATACTTACGTTCATGAATACTTCTAACATTTATTCATTTAAAAGTATTAAAGGTATTCTATAATAAAGATTGTGCGGTGTTTATTTTTTAGATTGAAGGTTTATTTGTAATTCAGACCGTGGGTGATTGATAAAAGCAGAAAAATTAAATAACCAAGTCAATTTTATCATCATTTATTATTTTTTAGTAGGTTTTTTAACAGGTATTGCTAGCAGTGTCAAATAAAATATTCTAGAGAAACTCTGCAGACGTGATATTGACCACTAGTGCTGTTGTTAATAAATTGAGATTTTTTTTATCGTTACTCATCACGTCTATGAAGTTTATACAAAAAAAAAATTAGGTTTTAGTCTGAAACATCATTAACTGTGGTCAATGACCTCACAAAAAATCATCTAATTATGTTATGGTTCATTTTAGCTTGTTTATACAACGTGTAAGTAAGGGTATAGTCATATGAAAGTGTGTGCTGGAGACAATCTAACTGAGAACTTTATCGATGGGAACACCATCATAATCGAAAAAAATTATCAACGGCCCCATTCAAAAAGTATGTATGAGAAAGCTGATATTTTTTTACGATGACTATACGCTTTTTGTTACACGTTGTTTAACGATACTCATCATATTCGATCATCGATATTAATTTCTATACATTCTGTATACTGTTTCGAGTTTACATTTCATAAAAATCTAAATATCGACTACACGTAGGCATATTTACATCTGAAGGTTCATCACCTGCAATCTCATCATTTAATTCATTTTCACTTCCGCTATCTGTATCAGCTGATAATTCAATCTCGTCATTTAATCCACTTTCACTTCTCCTATCTATATCGGCTGATAACTCAATGTTTAAATTTAATTTAGGGTCTACATTTTCTTTACTTCTTTTTTTGATTTTCAATGCCTCTTCTATGTATGACGGATTTCTTATAGTCAAACCTCGAGGATAGCGGGGGTCCACTAATTCTGGCAACAAACAATCTACATAAAATGATGTTAGTTTTTCTTTCATCTTTTCCTTCCAGAATGTATCATCTCTATCGATGTATTCCGTTTTTAGTGGAGAGTTCTCGTTGGACCAGACTGCAAATAAACACTTTGATCTTTTAGTAACGTGTAGTTGCCCCTGTACTTGATAGTACCATTGATGGTTTTTATTAATTTCCAGCCCATTTTTTGTGGTCTTCCAAAACGTGACTTTCCTGTTTTTTATGGCTTCTTCTAACCCTAATTTGAATGCCGTTATTGGGCATTTAACTTCAACGATTGTGTCATTGCTACATAAACCATCCGGAGTTGCTCCTAAAAATGGCAATTCTTCGTCAATAAATAAACCACAAGGTTCAATTTTAATACGTTCTTGTTTTTCTAATTGCTTGATGGCAATTTTTTCATTGTCCTTGCCATGTTTTATTGACGATACATGGTCAATTTTGGCTTTGTATAACAAGTCCCGAACAAAATTATGACAACTTGTGTCATTTCGCCGCGTGCAAACTTTTCCGAAGTTAGAAGCAGTTAATAATGACCTACGCAACTCTAGCCACTCGCCACATTCACTCTGTAAAACGGTTGTCCGTTCGATTAAATTTCTTTCCTCATCAGTTTTTTTTAAATTTGCTATAAAATTGTCTTTAAGCTTCTTAAAAACGTCTATTGGTATATCTGGCTTAGTGCAGTCTTGACCATAATTGTGGTCCGGTTTTGATTTTTCTAGATGAAGGCCTCGGTTTTTTGGTTTCCTATTTTCCTTGTTTTTTGCATTTTTATTAATTCTTTTGCTTTCTAGCCGTTTTATTTTGCCTTGTGGGCTGTCGCCTTTATTAATTGATTTGTAAAGCCGTGAAATGGTTTTCTTTTCATTAAAAGTTACGGCAGCGGCTTGACATCTAGTTTGATAAGAATTTTTTAGTGAAAAATTTATTCTTTTGCCACCGATCAACTTAGCCACCACACTATGAAATCTTTCTACCACGTTGCTATCAACGTCGTATAATAGACTGCGAGCATGACTTGCAACGTTTTGACTAATAGAGCATATTCTTTGCCATAAAGTGCTTAAAAAAAATCATTTGGCAGGTCCATTTTGCCGATAGTATCACACATGTATGACTGGCACTTAGTGTGATCCCCAAAGCCATGAAGGTGGCTGATTAATAAATCTTCAAACAAAAGTTGAACGTCTGAGTTGGTTTTATGTTTTTTAATTATTTTGCAAATTGTAGATCTTGTTCGTAGTATAGCCCTTTTTGTAATTAATTTTCGGTGTTTTATGTTGTATTTAGTTTCTGTGGTGAGCGCCTGTAATTTATTGCAAAAATTCCTTAAAATATGGTTCCGACATTCTATTTTTTCAACAGTCAGATCAGAATACGGGCGAGCCTGTAATATTTTGGAGTACGTGCTAGCGTCACCATCGGATATGAGTTTTCCGTAAATTAAATTATACATGTTTACAGATTCTTTAAATCCTTCCACAATTATTTCACTCTCCATGTTTGTGGATGGACCACTGTAATTTTTGAAACATTTGTGTTCTAATGGATCAACATTTTGTTTTTCTGCACGGGCACAGATAAAACAGTATTTATTTTTAATGCCTAAAAACAATATCTCTCCTGTATGTTTGCCAATTATGGCAGCTGCGCCTGAAAGAGCATTATAATTCTTTTATAGCTGCGTTTGGACCAGCAACCATCAGCAATGACATCTATTACGGCAATTCCGTCTTTGTTCACCTTACCATTAGAAATTGCGAATTGTTTTTCTTTTTCGGCAGCCTGATTCATAGATTCTACTAAAACCTCTTCCCATTTCCTACTAATCAGTTCATGGTTCTCTGAATACGTCTTTTCAGATAACAATGGCAGGTTGATTGCCGACATAAGTTCATCCAACTGTGAATGCCCCCCACCTATTGCAATAGTACCAGCGACAGCGCACGTGTTAATATTTAAGTAGTTGTCACTGCAATTGTCTCCATTTATGACAAACTTTTGATTGCAAAGCTTACACCTAAACGTAAACTTCGACTGTAAACCAATTCGGGTTTCAGCTATGAGGTGAAGTTCAGTGAAGCTGCATCCAAGTGGTCCATGGTTTGAAATGCGTTTTAATTCGGAAAGGAAGTGGCCGACATCAATAATTCTTCTGTTTATAATTTTTTCGTAATTTTCTGCTTCCTTTTCGTACGAAATGGGAAACTAAAAAAAAAAGTATCTTTTATTATATATCCAAAAAAAACAAATTAGAATATTTCACGGTCTGATTTTTTTCATCTGAAGTTACTATTCATTTTCAAATCTTTTCCATCTTTCATTCAAGTTCAAAACCCACGCGAAACGTATCAGAAACTTACCTCCTCAATATTTTTATTGATATCTTCAGTATTTTCTGACTCCGTCAAGTCTGCTATAGAGTCGTCTCTTATACTACAAAAGAAAAATATATTGCATAAAAATGATCGATATTTTTTTTTAAGTTAAGGTTACTATAGGTATTGATAAATGGGGTGGAAGGGATACTTTCGCGAGAACGGTTACCACGTATTTATTACATCATTTTGAGCCCCCCTCCCCACACATACACATTTTTCAGCTGTCTTCCACAAAAGTAAAATACAGATCTACACGATCAAAATGAACGAAAAACCGATTTTTTTACCGTTTTTGCATGGGTGTCTCACCCACCCCGTATAGATACTATAATACCAAGATTTACCCCGTAAACTTCCGTGACCCAGAAAATAATAATAATTATCTAATACAGGGAGGCCTTCGCCCAGCAGTGGCACATAATGGGCTAACTAAGTAATACTTACTCATTATTGCTTTTTTCTATCGGTCGTATATTAGAAATCTCCATTAGAGGTAGTTGTGCATCAGTTTGGTAGTCTTTTGACCTACAAAAGATTATTTATTTTAAATTAAAATACATTAAATCTCAAATATTTACACAAAAAAATCAATACATGACAAGCATTGAATCGTGTAGGTACTGAATCAATGTGAATGTTCATGTTTGTAGTTTCATAACTCTATGGCACTTGCATGATAACGAACATTTATGCGAAGATTCGTTTGTTGATAAAATATAAAATTGATGACTATGATCAGATGTTATCACTTCGCTAACTACTCACATCTTAGACCAGTATCTACTAAGTAAGTTTATTCTATTTTAGATAGGTACATACGTGCAGTCAACGTAATTTTGTTGAGAATCTTTAGATGTTGTTGGTGTTTCTTTATGACTGTTTCGTCCCGTTCTTTTAGCCCGGCTACAAAAAAAAAATAGATTGATAAATGAATTGGGCTATAAAATCCCGTCATAACATTTTTAAATTCGTATGAACATGGGCTTTTTATTATTATTATTTTTTCGGTGGGTAAAAATCATCCAATGGCATCTCCCGCCCTTGGGCGGAGTGGGAGTTAGTGTCGGACTTTTACTGACTAAAAACCCCACCCCGTTCCTTCATAGCCTTCGTACCACGGCCCTGGTGTACACTTTCACATTTACTCAAAGCCCCAGAGTGGGCTTCCACCCTGCTCGGTCCCTACAGTTTGCTGACAACTCCTTGAAGCGTCGTCAGCAACATCCATTACGCGCCGTCGAAGACTTGGGTTCGGTTCGGACAGTTACCGGACGGTTGGACAGCGAGCTACCCATTGCCCGCCGTCCATAAGCCCGCGCCTACGGGGGCCGGAAATCGGGATTGGAATCCCGGCGGCGGCTGCGGTGTGAGCGCCGTTGCCTCATGCGGTCGGAGTACTACTTTGCTAGCATTACTGCTTCGCAGAAGGAGGCGACCTCCTGCCACTCCTCCCTCCGGACCATGGCCTGTACCAAAGCTAGAATATAAATAAGTACTAGATTGCTTACCGAGCTGCGATCATCATTGCTACTTTTGCACGTCCTTGTCGCACGACTTTCTTGTACTTAGGCATTATAACTGTTTACACAACAATAGCGTCCTTTTCGCAAAACTCAATAGTTCTTCATACACACACAAAGCGTCCTTTCGCGGAAAATAAGAATAAATAAATAACAAACATAAAAAACTATCACTAATACAAATGTCAATAACAAAAACACAATAATATAAACTAATATTATTGTGATGTGAGCGAACAAGTGCCCGAGTGCCGACGCGGCGCGATGACGAACGACACGTGTTTCACCCTCGAGACCTTGTGGCACACTAACTCTGCGCAAGAGTTACGTAGCGAGTACGCTTAGATTTTAGAATAAAATCTTTATAAAATCAATTTTTTGTGTTTTGAAAAAAATAAAACTACCAAAATGTTCTCTATTTAATTACCTATCCATTAGTTAAGGAAGCAAATCAAAATAATGGTTAATTTAGGAGGAGATGCATGTTATAAATAATTATTTCTCATTTCTGTGGTTTTTTTGTGGCCCTTTAATTAAATATTATGCTGCTTAAAAAAAAAACTACCATTTTGGAGTCAAGATTATGTAGAAATTTAATGTATTTTTTATTAGTTGTTATTTCTTTTAGATAAAGAGAAGTTGGCTCCCAAAAACAGCCTAAAAACGGCTAACGCTGCGTTTCGCACGGGAACGCGCCTTAAGTTTACTATAACAACTTAACAAGTATAATCTAGAATATATTTCTTATAATGTTAATGTTTTATAATAAAATACATTTAACTATAAACTTATACAATATACTAAAATACAACTACAGATACTAAAATACAACAAATACAGATACACCTTCAACCAGTGAGAACCAAAGTCTGGCGAACCACAAAGTCTAGGCTCGCCTAATGTAATAAGAGGTTCTGTTATAATTTACATGATTTTTATCTCTTATTATGTATGACCTGTTACCTACATAATAAATAATTTTACCTTGTAACCACAAATTCTTATGTACATCTTTTTTAAACCAAATATTTTGTCCAATATTAAATTGTTTTTTTAATCTACTTGTTTTATTATAACTTTTCTTTCTAAACTCCATTATTTCTATGCCTCATTTCAAAAATGGTAAGCTAGGAACTTTATGAGGCATCAACGGCTCTTTACTATTATTATTTTGATAAGTTTGACATGGAAAGCATTTCCTAACGAACTCTTCAATATGAATATCCATATGAGGCCAAAAATATAGTTTTCTAGCTGTTTCATCTTAGACATGCCTATATGACCTTCATGCAATAATTTTATTATTCCTAACCTTAAATTTTTTGGTATGACTAACCTATCTTTATAAAATACCAACTTATTATCAAATGAAAGATCATCTTTTATCCTGTGATAACTATGTAAATAATCTGGAATTTTATTATAACTAGGCCATCCATTTTTAATAAATTCTATTATTTCTACCAATTCCCTATCAATTTCACTTTCTTTAATTAGTTGTGTTTTTTGTTCTGGTGAACATTCTAAATTTTGTGTAAGACCTATGCTATGAATTACCTCATACATATATGACTCATCATCCTACATCTTAACCTTCTGTGCCCCCATTCGCAACGTGCAACGTGGTCGACCCGTTCTTTATACCTTTTAATTGAAATCAGCTCGAATCAGCGGCTGCGCCATGTATTATTTATTTTCTTGATAATAAAACAATTATTAGGTCTTTGGTGTACTTTATTAGCTTAATATTTTAATTACAAACTTGTTTAATATTTTATGTTATCTTAATATAATATTAACACGACCGTTCACCACAAGCGATACCCAAAGAGCGAGAGAGGAAATCAACTGTCATGAACATTGACATATTATATCTGTATCGTTCCGTTACTACAAAATCTATCTCATTATTAAACTCTCTATACATAAGATTTGGAGACGCACATGTTTTGCAGAATCTTTGCAAGCAATATGATAGATACTAGTATTTTTCTTTCCTTAAGTTTCATGTGTCGGATTGCTCTAACAGCTGGACATTCAGATCCGTGTTTTAGGGAAATCTGTTCTTCAATATTATTATCATGTTCCTCAGTAGCTCCTGACGCCGAGGCTTCTTCGATCTGAATAGTCTCCAGTTTTATTTCTTTATTGTTTCCTACTTTATTTTTCTTTCTATATTTGCTAGAGTTTTATTTCCATCTTTTCCGTTGTTCTCTTTAAGAGCGAGGCGTTTTATCTTTAATTTGGAGAACATTTTTCTCTTCTTTTCTCGTAAGATATTGCATTTTTCGTATTTCTTTTTCAATAGCTAGCACCTCCGGATCATTTTTATTTGGTTATAGCGTCTTCTTTTACATAAACGCTTTTGTGCTAACCGCTGTTCTTTGGTTTGTGGCATTTTAGCTTGGTTAATGGCCCTGTTGTAGGAAATGTGTTATAAATAACAACGATATTAATAATAAGCAAACAACTAGACGTTACTACATAAAAACATACATAGACAAACTTACATAAACAACGATGACGTATGATAATTGTAGTTAGCGTCTACAATGGCCATTAATACCACACTAAACGTAGATTTATAGCTAAAGAAGTCGCTTCCACTCTTAATAGGTGCTTGTATGATGCAGTGCTTCCCATCTATAGAACCGACACAGTTTGGGAAATTCCACTTCTCTTTAAATTCCTAAGCAAATGTTAGCCATGCATCTTCTGTTGACGGTGTCTGAAATTAATAAAAACTTATAAATATTATATATAAAAGTAACACAATTTAGGGAGTAATAATAAAAAGCCGTTTATTTCCTTAATAAAAATTAAAATTGACAATTGGTTTAACAGTTAATTATTTGATCCAATTGAATATTTTTATGTAACATTATAATTAAATTAATGTTTTTTTTAATAAATAACGAGATAATTAGAATGACACACACATACAGTATAAATAAATAACCGCTGATATTTTTATGTGCGAATCATTTCTAACATGATTACGACTTGCCTTATGGTGAAGGAAAACATCGTGAGGAAACCTGCATGTCTGAGAGAACCTAACAAGTTTTTGAAAGACATGTGAATTCCGCCAACCCGCACTTGGCCAGCGTGGTGGACTATGGCCTGACTATCCCCTTCGAAGCGATAGCGGGACAAAATATAAGGGTCTGGCCCAAGAACATATTCATATTCAATTCTGTGTTTTCTTAATTAGTGATTTTATAAGATGCCAAAAGTACAACGCTCTCCTCTGGCCAATAAATCACAAAGTGTTTCTGAGCCAAACGTCGACAAGATGGAAACTTTTCACACAGAGTTTTTCGGTGACAATGTGCCACCGAGCTATGTACAACAACGACAAAAAAGGGCTAGAGAGCATGGAATTTAGGATGAATTATTGAGTTTTAAAAAAGAGATGAAATATATGATTAAGTCATTGTTTACGGAACAACAAAAAGAGCTTAAAAAATTACGAATGCCCAAGGAGAAATCAAAGAGAGTAATACCCACATAGAAAGTAGCCTTGCATTCCTCTCAGCGCAAAATGAAGACCTTAGGAAGAAAATAGAACAGCTAGAAGTCCGTCTAAAGCAAGACAGAGAACAAATTATAATCCTAGAGGACAAGATTGAATATTTGCAGCGGGAACAACGTAAGACTAATATTGAAATAAAAAATATGCCAAAACTACCTACGGAATCAAAGGAAGATTTAATAAGCATGGTTCTATGCATATCAAAATCCCTGAATTGCGGTATTAAAAAAGGTGATGTCAAAGATATATATAGGCTGAAAGGGAAAAGAGATTCTAAAAATTCGAATACGCCAATAATTGTTGAACTATCATCCTCAATGGTCAAAACAGATATCATAAAATCTCTTAAAACCTTCAACATTAAAAATAAAGGAAAACTAAGAGCAAAGCATCTGGGAGCTACTAAAAACGAAGACACCGCCGTATATGTCTCCGAGCAGCTCACTGCGAAAGGCGCTAGACTGTACTTTGTTGCTCGCGATCTAGCTAAATCAAAAGACTACAAGTTCTGTTGGAAATCTTACGGACGTGTCTACCTCAGAAAAAACGAAAACTCCCCGGTAACTTTAATAAAAAACGAATCTCAGGTACATAGCTTGATGCAGGCATGTTTCTTTGACTTTAGTCCTACTTTAAATATATTTATTTCTTATAATATCATTTTCAATATGTTTTTAGTAAATAATCATAATCGCAAACACTTACAATACATACACTATTTGCACTCACACGCTCATACACTTACATATACTAAACACACATACTCGTATATATACATGGATTATGGTTATAAACAATCAAGTTATAATAAAAATTTATTCAACCTCAGTTTTAAAGCAATGTTGATATATCAAGTAAATTATGATTTCTCGAAATGTACGGAAAGTATCTACTTGCTCAGTAATGGATAGTCGGACTATAAACATGAAAGAATTAGACAACATACAAATATCCCAATCTAGTGTCCATACTATACATGACTTCTCAAGATAGACAACCATACAAAAATCAGATTTTACGGTAATATCACAAAATATAAGAAGCATCTACAATAATTTTGATGATCTTTTAATAACTTTATCGGAGTTCAAATTTGAAGCTGATCTAATAACACTAACCGAGGGATGGATCGATCCAGTCAAGCCTGTACCGCAAATGGATAACTACACTCACTTAATTACAACGCGCCGCCTAAATCGTAGTGACGGCGTAGTCGTCTACATAAAATGCCACCATAAAACTATAGTTAAAGAAATTAATTTAAAACACGCATCAAAGTCAAAATACGTAATTATATCATGCTGTAAATTTATCGCTCCCCGTCTAATCAAAAGGCTGAAATTTTTATAGATTCATTAAATACTTACTTAGTAACTTTACAATCTCAGAAAAACATTATAATAACAGGAGATATCAACATAAATCTAATACAAAAATCTAACGAAACATCTCAGGAGCGTTTGAACCGATTACATTACCTTAACATGTTGGCCATGCATGGTCTGCTACCGGCCCATACACTGCCTACTCGAGATAGCAATTGTATAGATCATTTCATACTAAAATTAGACAGGTGTAAAAGTATGTGCGCGTCTATTACCGTTCTTGATTCTACAGTTACTGATCACAAAATGTTATTCTTAAAACTGTACCGGGGTACCGCTAAGTCGAATTACAATATTTCGAAAAATAAATCTTCAATTAACATGGAAGGCGCTTTAAGTTATTTAAAAAATAGCAACATAAATGACCTAATTAATTAGAATAACCCTATAATCTTAACTAATAAATTAATATTTATTTTAAAGCAGTGTATTTTATCCAACACTATCACTAGAACTATTCCGAATAAGGAACGCTCTATTAAACCATGGATTACCTTACGAATTGTTAGATGTATTCGTAATAGAAATGCTATGCAAGCAAAACTCCGAGCTGATCCCCATAATGATATGATTACCTTACGAATTGTTAGATGTATTCGTAATAGAAATGCTATGCAAGCAAAACTCCGAGCTGATCCCGATAATGATATTCTTAAAATCACGTACAGGAGATATAGGAATTTCTGCAATAGTCTAATAAAGAAAGTCAAACGTAAATATGAAAGAGAAGACCTTGCTAAAAGTATAAAAAACCCGAAAAGCTTATTCAAGAAAATAAATACCCTCACATATCGTAACCAACCTAAAACACAAATTTAGAATTATTAAACTTAAATTCATGCCCTCAAAATTCGGTTAATTTGGTTAACCATTATTTTTAAACATTGGTAAAAATTTAGCAGAAGAGATTATTCTAGATACGTCTTTACATAATAGAACAGATGTAATTAGCCCCAACTGTTCCCAGGTGTCGTCTTTTGTGCTTATTGAAACTGACCCTCATGAAGTATACCTGACTATTACCAGTCTTAAAACTGATAGTGCCCCTGGCTGGGATGGTATAAGCACCAAATTTCTCAAATATACTAGGGAACTAGTTGTGCCTATAATTACTCATTTGGCTAATTTGTGCTTTCGACAAGGAGTTTTTCCACCCGCGCTAAAACAAGCAATTATTACACCTGTGTACAAGAATGGTGACAGAGAAGACGTATCAAATTATCGCCCAATCTCCGTTCTTACTGTCATATCAAAAGTTCTTGAAAAATTAATGAATAAAAGACTAATTACCTACCTTAGAAGCTTAATCTACTATCAAACTCACAATTCGGTTTTAGACAGGGACTGTCAACTGAAGATGCAGTTATCTCACTAACAAGTTATATTGTTAATGAAGTTGATAAAGGTAATAAATGTATCACAGTTTTTCTAGACTTAAAAAAGGCATTTGATACGGTCTCTGTCCCCATTCTGGTGAAGAGATTAGAAAACTTTGGTATTAGGGGTACTTCACTCAAATTGTTCGCTGATTACCTCAGCGAATGAAAGCAAGCAGTTAGAATAGGTCATTACATCAGCGAACAATCTGACATCACATATGGGTTCCCGCAAGGTAGTGTTCTGGGGCCGACCTTATTCTTAATCTACATAAACGGCTTATGCGATTTAAAAATTGAGAATGGAAAGGTCTACTCCTACGCGGATGACACTGCTGTTGTCTTCACTGGGACGACTTGTGACTCAGTGCGTCAATATACAGAAATAGGGCTCTTCAAAATAGATAACTCGTTAAGAGAAAACTTATTATCATTAAACATAAGTAAAACTAACTACATATTCTTTACCAAATACAATAGCACCCAACCTCAAACAGATCTAGAAATAAAAATACATAACTGTAACACCAGAGTAAATTGTTCATGTAAAACTATAAATAAAGTCCATCACACAAAATATCTAGGAGTAGTGGTTGATCAAAGAATGTCTTGGCATGAGCACCTAGAACAAGTTATGAATATGATTCGAAAGTTGATTTGGACATTTAAAACTCTAAGGCACATTGCTGACAAACATCTTCTAAAACAAATATACACATCGCTAGCTGAGTCAATTTTAGTATACTGTATACCAGTTTGGGGGGGGTGCTACTAAAATGAAGTTCCTGGAACTGGAGAGGGCACAAAGAAATTTACTAAAAGTAATGATGTTTAAGCCTTATAGATTTTCTACCTCTGACCTTTATGCCTCTTGTGGTGTGTTTTAACGGTCAGGCAACTGTACATTTTATGCACTACCTTAAGATTGCACAAATCTCTTTAATACGATAGTCGCAAACTGAGCAAAAGGCGTAAGCATACTGTCGCTCCAGTTGAGAGATCTAATTCAGTTTTTGCCGTGAGACAATTCCGATATCAAGCTGCTAAACTTTACAATAAATTAAATAAAATATTAAATATATACACTTTGAATAAGCATGAATGTAAAACATCTCTACTTAAAATCCTAAAAACATTGAACTATGACGACACTGAAGCCTTGTGTAGGTAATCATAAACCATAATACACTAGTAAACACACTCAAATTCTACAATCAGTCATGAACTTTCATCCTCATAAACACACAAACACACACATTCACACACACACACACATACACATATACCAATATTCACATAGTTTTCTCCTTAGATTCTGTTAGTAAATTGTAAAATATATAGTACTTAGGTTATTGTGAAATTTTTGACTAGTACAAGTATCTATATAGTAGTAATTATTAGTTAGTACACTTATGTAATGGAAGAGCGGTTTCTCCTAACACAAGTGCTTGTGCGCTTAAAAGGAGGTCCCAATCACTTATCAGCTATTGTAAAATTTTTGAGATACCGAATAAAAAAAAAATATGTTGAACATAATATAAATAATATACTGTTCGATGTGATTTGGGGAAATTTGAGTTTGAGCCAAGTTTAGTGTCAACTCCGATGTCTTCATATTCGGACAGTTCACAAAATACATTACTACATTCTGCAAACACAGATGAATCACCACTCAACCAGACAACAACAGTATAGGAAAACAGACTCACAAACTCACAAAATATTATTTTATTTATTTATTTATTTCAGGCAATATTTACAAAAACAAAACAGAGACCCATTGCATAATATATACCTTAAAACTAACATACATATATATTAATTATAACTATTTAACACGTAGTCCAGACGTGTGATTATAAACACAGGGCTACAATTACACATTCCAGATGATATAAACTGAAGAAACTAGGGGGACTTTAGTGTAATACTTAAACAATTTTAAGTAACATTTTCTTTTTAATTTCATTTTGTTTTAAAAATACTATTAAATGCCATGTTCTAAGGTTGTATTTTTCCAATAGATATCTTAAAAATAGTGAGTGTAGCTTTGTTCACGTACCTTTGTGTAGTCATGCAATGCTTCATTTATCGCAGCACATACTTCAGGATAGTATTACATATTGTGCATTTGTACATTTAGATGTTTTAGTAAAATATGTATATCAGGCTTTCAAAGGAATCTCCAGTTGTCAAAAATATTAAAGTTACGGCTAGCCTGTCATATGCAGGAATCAAGTCTCTAAAATTCGTACTTGATTTCCGAATTTTGTCGCTGATCAAAGATAATAAATGGTCAATATCCTCTGACGCCATTCTACAAAAATTTTGGAATTAACCTACATTATCCAGTATCCTTCGCTGTAATAAATTTGTCACCCACTGATGGGGACAGTGCCCTGGACACTTCGTGATAGGGAAAACTGACCACCCTATAGAGAATAATAAAGAGTAGACTGTACTTAATTAGTTTATTAGATAAGTACTACACAGAGTGGTAACCCGACAATATATTAAGCGTTTCGTAACGTCAGTTAAAGTCGTTCTTCCGTGCGTCCAGCGATCCGCAGATTTTATAGCGCCGTCCCGCACCCCCCGCTCCTAAAACTACGCGATGCATAAAGTCGCTCACACACTCACGGCGCAACCTTGTCTTTACCACCCACCAACGTCTCTTTCTTTTCTTTTTGAGTGTTTGGGATAAAATAATAAAATGCAGCACTTGCAATTATAATATCACTCAGGGTTGGACATAACCAAAGAGTATATAACGAAACACTATCAACCACAGAATTGACATGAATGGGCAATGAGCATTCATTCGGATGTTGATCTTTTGGTGTAAAAGCTGAATTATAATTGTTTTAAATTATGTTATATTTACTCAAAAAATTGTAGGTTTACTTTTTTTAATTTCAAAACCAAATATTTTGTAGGCACATGTACCGTCAAATGTCGTTGTCGGAATGCGAGAAAATGACGTATGTAATGTTATGGAAGTTAAAATCATATATATATATATATATATATAAACGTACAATGTTGTTTGAAATCTTATCTACTTTTAAAGTACTGCTAAACACAAACAAAAAACAAATCATTGTTTTTTTTGGGCGATTTACTTTTTTCGTTCATATTACGCGTCCAGTAAAAAAAGAAATACTTATTTAAGAAACACCTAATTTGAATATGTGAGAAACTGTACATAATATAGTTATGCTTGTATGCAAGTAACATCTAAGTATTAAAATCACAAAATTAATAAGTTATAAATAAAAATCTTCACAAATTGGCTATTTGACTGTTGTATCGATAAAATATAAAATATGTTGGATATGGTAGCTTATGTGTAAACAATATTTTTACAATATTTTCTGCGTTAAGATATGTTGTTAATATTTTTATTTTTGTAAAATAAATTTGCGATTTTTTATCTGTGACTCACAAGAACCGAAACGCGAGCGGCCATGATTAAACGTCTTGTGACGTCACATCTTACAAAACAATTTTGTTTATGTATGGTTCCCCGTTTCTGTTAGTTTGCTGTGAATATAAATTAAATTTTTGAGCCTGAACGTTATAATTAAAATATTCAGATTTGTGCATGTAAGAGGTTTCACGAAATGGAGCCAGGATATATAAAAGTGCGGATAGTGCAAACCTACCCAAAGTGGATTCATTTATGGTCGCAAATTTCTTTGCGTGTAATCCTGACTTTTGCTCCGCAGAGTTTCGGAATGCAAAAACTTCCGTGTAAGTATATTAAACAATTATTAAACAAAAATGCCATATAATTTATTTGTAAAGTCCATGGCATGCCATTGGCAGCAACATCTAAACGAAATAGTCATAAATAACAGGTATAATAAGTACACCCATGGCATTACAACTATAATAAAAAAATATTTATTATAAATACTAAGCTTTTTAAAACATATGTTTTTTAGTTATAAGAAACGCATTGCATTTTAAGTTACAGGTTATGCTTCTAATTTCAGATCTTCGCGTCAGTCGTATGGTGATGACGCTATAGGGTATGTGCAGCTAAAAAGAGAGGCAAGTTTATGTGTGATTAGATGCAAAATTTGTCCCGAACACAAGGTTCGTCAACAGCCATACTCAGTGTCCATGGTCATCAATGAACATGAAGGATTAGTACAAAGTGTCCAGTGTGATGATTGCCCTGCCTCCCAAGGATGCTGTAAACATGCAGTGGCTTTTTTAATGTGGACTCATAGGAGAAGTGAGGAGCCATCTTGCACTGCCACTGAATGTTATTTGAAGAAATCTAAACTTTCTAAAGTCGGCAGCACTTTGAAGTATATGAAAATTAAAGATATTGGAAGTGGTAATAGTTCCTTATCTACCCAAGAAGATAAAAGTGTACTATGTGAATTTTTGGAGGAGAGTAAGAAAAGGAAATTGCAAAATTGCCAAATTTTAAAACATCAACCTGATCATGAATTTAACATAATTCAGTTGCTCTCATTGCACTACTTAAGTTACAGATTTAATTTAGAAAATGACTGTAATAAATTTATGCACAAATTATATTCAGTTTTTACAGAACAGAATATTAGGGATGTAGAAAAGCTAACACGTGAGCAGCATAAAAGTTCAGCATGGCACGAGCTTCGATATGCTAGAATAACAGCATCAAAAGCCTATGATGTGACTCGCTGTACAACATCAGATGGCTCCTTAATCGCGACATTGATGGGTGCAAAAGTCCCTGACACTGTTGCCATGAAACGAGGCAGAAAGTTAGAAGATTTTGTAAAGACACAATTAAAAAAACAAGTTGGTGAAATATTGCAGTGTGGCCTATTTATATGTCAAGAGTATCCTATGATAGCAGCATCACCTGATGGTATTTTAAATGGTGATACTGTTATAGAAATAAAATGTCCAATGAGTGAAAAATCTTGCAAAAAAATAAGTTTTAAACGACCAAGTCACTGCCAAGTATTATGCACAAGTACAGCTGCAGATGCATTTAACTAAATTAGAAAAGTGTTTGTTTTGTGTGGCATCATGGGACTTTGAAAAAATAATAAAATCAATATTGTGCCCATACAGTATAATGCTAAATATATAAAAGATCTTCTATATGAATTAGAAACTTTTTGGAAAAATTATGTTTATCCATTACTGTATAGTAGTACTAAATAAAAAAATTTAATCTCAGCAAATCATGTATTTTTTATTAAACTGTCTTGCAGGTTAATCATAGCACATGCAATAACAACACAGTCATCTAGATATTTTAACACTTTCTTATTAACTACAGAATGAGGTTTTAACATGGAGAACTCTCGCAGACGTCTTATAACTCTTTCAATATGTATCCTTAAACTAGCTATCTATTTTGTTTTGATAACATCTTGTTTACACAATTTTGAATTAGATGAAACACTTGGGGGTCTTACTAAATTGATTCCTTTTTGCAGTAGAAGTTCTTCTATATGTTTAAATCCCCTGTCTGCGAGTATAGACACACCTGGTTCTAAAGAATCTAGAAAATTGCAGTTCTGTACTAACAGAACATCAGTGATTCTGCCACTATATCCAGGTGAAATATAATTGATGATACCATCTGGGGTGCTACTAATTAAGTATTTGGCAGTGTTTGCTTTTTTATATTCTGACCATAATAAAGCCTGTTCTACAGATTTTGATGGTTTCTGTATTTCTATTTCGAGACAATCAATTATACAATAAATATTATGGTACTTATGTCTAAACACCATAGGTAGGTTTTGTTTTACTAATCTTTTACTTGGTTTAATGATAAATGGATGTAATACACTTGCAATAAGAGGGACAGATTTCATGAAAATTTTACTAGCATAAGACAGAGACATACCAAATTGATCACCAAGCTCAGAAAATGGGGTATTTAGTCTAATTTTTTTTAAAAATAATAATATGTGTTCTTCAGGAAGCTTTGTATGCTTTTGTATGATGTCAATTAAAAAATAACAATCCTTTGAAGCACCAATATAATATCTTGGATTATTCTAAATTAATCTTACAGTATTTTCAATTGAAATTTTGCATAGAGTTTCTGCTTCAATTTTCATTTTTATTTGGGCTAATTCAGACTGAGTCTCTTGGTCACTTGTTGATGTCATCATAACCAAGGACTGAACAGACGGTGAAGTGTCAGTTTTTGACAGTGAATGTTTTACGGGTGTTGAACTATTTGAAGATGACACTTCTAGCTTCTCACTTGTGAATAATAATTTCCTCTTAATTTTAGTATTCATAAATCTTGCTGATTGAACTCCAGACGTTGTAACTTTAAAAGGTGATGTTGCAATAGATGTGGTATTGGTCTTTAAAGGAGAAGTATTTTTATCCTTAATTTGACTAGTGGTTTGTATAGCTTTGCTCCTAATTGTTGCTTTTAATCACACTTGAACTATTTTATTAGTTGCTTCAGAGCATACTTGTATTGCTTTATCTTGAAAATTAGGAAAGCATTCATCCTTCACAGTAGCAGACTGAAAATCTGAAACAATATATTATTAATGGCATACTTAATTAATCTAGTAGATGAAAAAGGCACTGCAAAGATGAACACTTAAATAGGTTTTAATAGTTCATCTATAGTTAAAGCATTTAAACTGAAAAGTAATTTTTTTACTCACTACACTCGCTTGTCGTGCCTGATGTTGCTGGCATTTGAGTTTCCTTGGAAATTACATCCTGTATTATGTGCATACGTCGCCTTTTGCTTATGACTGACCGAGGCTGCGGAGGCGCAGTACGTTTCATTCTGTCTGGTTGACATTCAAACTTTGATGGCAAGCAGTCCGGCTTCATTCTTATTTTACCAACAGAATCCATTATACTGTACTGAATGTAATTTTCCATATCATTAGGTAGCTGTAAAGTGACACAATATGTTAATCACTTTTATTTATTTGAATGATTTATAAGTATAGAATGAGGTCTGGTTTAGTTTTTTCTGGGAGGTCAAAGGCTATGTTCCTTATTGAAAAACTTCAATAGGATCTTATTAACAGCGACAAAAACCAAATAAAAACCAATAAATATTTATTGGTTTTGATTTGGTTGATGGTCAATTTTTAGATACTTACATCAAAGTGGTCTTCACAAAAGAAAATTGTAGATTTATCAGATGTAAACTTCGAGTCTCTGCGTGCTAACTGTAACCACTGCTTTCGACGTTTTGGACATTTAGGAACGTGTATAAACAATTTCTCAGGATTTTTAATGGTCGTACTTATACACATTGGCACGGCACACGTCTTATATGATGTCATTTTTACAATTATTCTACTGAAAAAGCTTAAACTTTCCTCTTGAGAATAAGTTTAGAACTTAGAAGTTAGAGCGTCGTATACGGCGTATAATATTTATTGAAATGTGACGTCATCAGCTCAAAATGTCACGTGACCGACTGTTTTAGGACGACATGTCAAAGTAATTAATAAAAAATGTTTTTATGTATTTTAAAACACTTTTTCGACTCAAAGATTATTGTGAGTGGTATAAAATGAATATTTGCACATTATAAAATACTTTTCCGAAAACTGTCAAGTAACCAATTCTCATTTCTTTCGGTGTCCATTTACTACTCTTCTGAAGACTTTTGTATTCTATTCAAAAAATATTAGAATTAAATATAAAAAAATACCATACAAATAATCTATACAAAAAAACACAACATTTACACCTAAATCAAATAATGTTAATTTCGCTATGCAATAAAATATTATTTAATAAATTTTTAATCATTTATTTTTTCTGATTACCATCGGCTAGTAAGAAAATTTGAATATTAGACTGTGTATGGCCTTAAAGTTTAAACGTTAGTATATCGACATCAGGCCCTGCGTACATGTCTCATTCACCCAGCAAACGTCGTAGCAGGTGCACGCTTGCACATGGTTAAAGAATATTTTCGTTCGTATTTACGCGGGAAGTGATTATTCTAAAATAGTTCTCTTTCCTTTCGTCTAAATTACTTGGTAAGTATTTACAATTTTGTTAAATAAGTAGCTGATATGAATTATAATGATTATTTTCGTAATTTAAAATATGCATGGGGTTCGTATTTTTGATAATTTTAAGAAAATCTTATAAAATGTATTCAAACCTCATTACCTACTTCCTTATTACCTTCGATTGCCGTCGGTTTTAAGAGCGATGTTATTGAGGTCAATACGAAGGCAATTAGAATTTTTTAATGGTAATTAATTATTAGTTTTAATATACAAACACTTTCGAATAAATTGTTTATCAACTTTACAAATAGTTGGCCAAGTTGTTTGTAAAATTCCATGTATTATTTTACTTAGAGAATCTAAATAAAGCTTAAAATATTCTGTCATTCATATTTGTATTATGCATTAGATATTAGTACTTTTTATAATTCTTAGTTATTTTCTGCAAATTTAAAAATTATATGTATTTTTACAGATTTATCAAATTTAAGAAAGCCAAAAAAAACTGATGATGATGTTCTCCTAGCCGATTCCGGCCACGGCGGCCAATCTCATGAGATTAGCCAACTGCGCAGGAGATATTATAGTGCTCAAGTGTACGCGCAGACACAAGTGCACTCTATTCCTATCACTCATACTTTGGTGGGACGACCACTCGACACGACCGGTGAGAGTTAAGGCGCAGGACCGAGGGCTTTACGTGCTCCCCGTGGCTCGGGGGTGAAACACCGCCAACTTCCCAACTCCGGGCTGTTACTGAGACTTACTATACAGGAAGACTCAATAACTAAACTTGGCTCGACCCAAGACTCGAACCCAGGACCTCCGGGTGTGCAGCCGTACATGCTAGCCACTACACCGCCGAAAAAAAACTAAACAAACATTAGAGCAAAAATGAGAGCGTGATGGATTACAAAAAAAAAAGTATTCAGAAATTAAGCAAGATCCCGAAAAATACGCGGAACAGAAGGCAAAGGAAAAGCCAGATATCTTAAAAGAAAAAAACGGAAAAAAAGTACCCAAGACATGACACCGAGACAATTAAGAAATCAAAGAAAGTTGTGGAGAATTAGTTCGAAACGTCACTATGAAAAAAAAGAAAGAAAAAGCTATACAACAGCTATTATTAGATAACTCTCCGCCAAATAGTGACACAGAAGTACTCCCAGCTGAACTGGATCCACTTGCTAGGCCAGCTTTCAATCCCAAACCTAGTTCATCTCAAAATTCCGATTTTAGTAATTCTTGTCCACAGTGTCTGAAAAAGGATACTCTTTTGCGAGAACTTCGGTATCGAACTATCAACATAAAATACAAATCGGTTTTTTGAAACAAGAAATAGAGAAAACTAAAAACAAAAAGATGCTGTAAGAAAGATGCTTTATAGAATAATGCAAAATAAGAATAAAAACAGAGATACATCGACTGCAAAAAAATAGATAATTTAGTTAGGGACAAGGATACAAAACAACGCGAAGAAATTAAAAGGAAACTAATATTTGGTGATATTCTTACAAGAAGCGTTGAGGAAGGGTATAAATGCTTAAGAAAAAAAGACAAAAAGGAATTCTCTATCTAATATAATATTGACCGAAAAAGAAAGATTCAAAAAACACAAGCTCTTGACACAAACAAATTTATTCAAGATAAGAAATACAAAAGGAAATAAAACAACTAGGGCTGAAAATTCGGTAAAGCAACTAATTTTGGATTTTTTCGACGATGATGCAGTTACTAGAATTGCAGCTGACAAAAAAGAACAGATACTTTACGTAATCTCTACAAACAGTTTATGCACAATTGTAATGCCAAGATAACATATCAAACATTTTGTAAATATCGTCCATTTTGGGTTTTATATCCAAAGGAGTCTAGCAGAAATACGTGCGCCTGCAAAATTCATATTAATATTGACTTTTTGATAAAATGTCTTAACACACATAAGATACTAAAAGAACCTAATGGAACTGCTGTCTTAGAAAGCTTGTTTTGCAATGTTAATAGTAGCCAGTGCTTAAATCGAACATGTAAAAATTGTAAATCTAATAAATTAAATTACACGGAATTTCAGAACGATACAAAAATTTAATATTATAAGTGGTGTAATAGCTCCGAAAACATTATTAAAGATGAAGAGAAAACTAAAGTTGTGACGAAGAAAACAACAATATATGACTTTCCACGCAATATTATAAGGCAGCTAGAAAGCAATCTTATCGGTTATATGAAACATTGTAATAATATTTTGGCTCAATACAAAAAAAAAGACCTTAAAAATAATCTCACTCCACACGAAGTACTCCTTCACGTAGATTTTAGTGAGAACTACTGCGTTAAATATAACGAAGAAATCCAGAATTTTCACTTTTGTGGTAGTAGAATGCAATTATCTCTGCACACATGTGTCACTTATTTGATAGACCCGGAAGTTGGAATACAAAAACAATACAGCTTTTGCATTGTAAGTGAATGTACCTAACATGACGCTGCGGCTGTTTGGGCACATTTAGTTCCTACCATTGGATATGTGTTGGAGATTTCAAACCAAATTGATACAATAAACTTCGTTTCTGATAGTCCAACAAGTCAGTATCGAAATCGATTTTTTTTTAATGATTAGTCAACTATGCCGAGATTTTCCTCAACTTAAATCTATGACCTGGAATTACTTAGAAGCTGGACACGGCAAAGGAGCACCAGATGGAGTTGGTGCTGTTCTAAAACGAACATGTGATCAAGTAGTTCGTTTTGGCAGGGACGTGGACTTCCTGTGGCCAACACGTGCGTGCGACGGCAGGCGCGTCCATCGTGGACTTCACGTTTACGAACCCGGCCTTAGCGCGCCGTGTCCAGGGCTGGCGAGTGCTGGAAGATGTGAAGACTGTCTCGGACCACCTGTACATCAGTTTTGAGATCGCCACACATCCGGCGGTGCCGCCAGGTCCCAGCCGAACCTCAAGAGAGGACGGCCCGAGGTGGCAACTGAAGCGCCTCGATACGGAGCTGCTGAAGGAGGCTGTGGTTGTGGCTTCATGGCTGCCCCAGAACACCAGGGCTAATGAAGACTCTGCCGAAGGATTGAAAGAGGCAATGACGCGAGTATGCAATACGTCCATGCCTCGATCAAGGCGCTGCTCCACTAGGCACCAGGTTTATTGGTGGTCGGCGGTGATTGCGCATTTACGAGCAGATGCTGGACGAGCTGAACCGCGATCCCTGGGGGACGCCCTACAGGATGGTGCGAAACCAACTCCGTCCTTGGGCCCCCCCACTTACGCAGTCTCTCCAGCCTGGTGTGGTCCGGGAAGTGGTCGCGGCTCTATTCCCGCACGGTGCGCAGGCAGATCACTGCCAGCAGTCACGGAAGATGGTAGCGAGATGCCAGAAGTGGACAAGGAGATGTCCAGGACGGTTAGTCGTCTCCGGGTGAAGAGTGTCGCTCCCGGCCCCGACGGTATTCCAGGGCGAGTGTGGGTGTAAATAAGATCAAAATAAGAGTGATTGATTTTTAGAGTAAAGATAGCCATAGTGATGATGATGATATGAATATTTTCTGAAAGAAAAAATAAATATTTAATAGATAAGCTTAAATTTATTTTTGTTTAAATTAACACTAATTGTAAGTCTTACTTTTAGTTTGTTATAAAAAAAACTTTTTTGATCTCATACTTCCAAAAAATAATAATTAATCATTAATACAATTATAGAAACAACTTTAATGTGTTTTCGATTTATCATTTTGAAGTTTAATTTTTGTATAATCATTAATAGGTACAGTACATTTACGTACATTTTAATATTAAAAATAATTGATTAATAGTACATTGTATCATTGCATTCTTTTCTGTATCACTGCCTTCGCACGTCTATTTCTCTCATTTAAAGACAAAATCATTCATCTCTTTAGTGTTCTCATTACCATCTCATTCGTATTTTCAACCGACTTCAAAAAGGAGGAGGTTCTCAATTCGACTGTATGTTTTTTTTTATGTTTGTTACCTCAGAACTCCGTCATTTATTAACCGATTTGGACAATTTTTGTTTTGTTTGAAAGGGTATACTTCCAGATTGGTCCCATTTAAATTTCAAAAAAAATACCACCCCTAAGGGTGGAAAAACAACTAATGATGAATTTAACCTACTTCTAATTGTCATATTGACTTGAAACTTTGCAAGTATTTCTATTTCCGTTGATAGTACAGTGGTTCGGTGTTGTTGACCTGATCTGATGGCAAGGCCAGAAGGTGGATAGGTGGAACTCTTCAACGGCTAATAGTAGATACTTTGAGTTTGGGCTTATTTTGTTTGATTTGACAAACCTAACACGTTAGAATCCTTACTTTGCTACTACTGTCTACACTAAAAAGGGAAAAATAAAAACTTTTTAACAAAAAAATAAAAACCGACTTCAAACAAAAGCACTAAAAAGTAAAAAATAACTGATTGGTAGTTTTCATTTACTATACATACCTAATCAAATATTTTCGAAGTCGGTGTGCTTTGGTTAAGTAATTAAAGTCTACCTATTAAATACATACCTAATCAAATATTTTCAAAATCGGTGCCAGCCCATACAAAGCAAAGCACACCGACTTCGAAAATATTTGATTAGGTATGTATAGTAAATGAAAACTACCAATCAGTTATTTTTTACTTTTTAGTGCTTTTGTTTGAAGTCGGTTTTTATTTTTTTGTTAAAAAGTTTTTATTGATATGACTGTAACAACTGTACGGAAGTTGCGGCTGGAGGAGCGTCTAAAAATCGACACAAGCAGAGAGATGCAAATTGTTTGGTGAGTACCTAAATCTTTCTAGAGTTGCTTATCTAAAGATAGGAAAATCTTTAATTTCTCTTTATTTTTTATTCCTTTGTTCCTTTCAGTATAATATAGCAAATCGTTGCGAATGGGAGCTTAAGAAATATTTTTAGAACTTTAAATATAGAATTTATTAATTACTTAATTTTCTTTGTGTGTGTTTTTTTTTGTTTTCCAAAATTTTTCACCCACGCAAGTCGTGCACCTCTGGGTCATATAATAGAATCTCGCAAATCGATGCGCGTAGGAACTTAGATAGTATTTTAGAAGATAACTTAAGTACAGGTTTTAGTAGTTTATTAGTTAATAAAATGAGCGTAGACTTGGTAGATCAAGTGTATAAGGCCTTACGCCTGTTACCCGAATTCGACGGGAACCCAAACATACTCACGCGGTTTGTGCATTTATGTGATCAGTTAGCTGCACAATTTATTAGAGCGGAGCCGGGATTCGATCTTAGCAATTTAGCATTAATAAACGGAATCCTTAATAAAGTTACGGGAAATGCGGCACGCACTATAAATTTAAATGGCATCCCTGAGAACTGGCAGGGTATAAGAAATGCTTTAATTAATAATTTCTCGGACCAGCGAGATGAGACCGCTTTATACAATGATCTAGCTCTTTTAACGCAGAAACAGTTAACACCCCAGGAATTTTACGATAAATGCCAAAGCCTTTTTAGTGACTATAATTACCTATGTAACCTTACACGAAAATATACCCACTACCATAGAAGCAAAACGTATTTTATATAAAAAATTAACCCTACAAGCATTTGTTCGTGGCCTTAAAGAGCCTTTAGGTTCACGTATTCGGTGCATGAGACCGGATACAATCGAAAAAGCATTAGAGTAT